AAATGTCTAAAGGAGCTCTGACCCGATGCGGACCCAAATTCTTCTCTTTTTGAGCCAGTGTTACAACAACATTGAATGACCAAGTCATAAAGGTATTCATATTTCTGGAAGATGTGTCTTCCTGAAAATCTAAGTCACTGCATAATTGTTGATTAAACTTTGGATATCAGAACATTGTACAGACCAAGAACTCATTACTTAATAGTGTTCTTGTTTTATGTATGAAGGGATAAATTTCAATGGTTAATTTTCCTTTAAAGGTAAGTGATGACAAAGGTGGTTAGTAGCTTTATTCTATCTTGTCTGGTTCTAAGAGAGAGGCCTTACATTTTATAAGCTTAGATTTAAATTTCTTAGCTTTAAGGTAGTGTAGTCAGACTAATATTGACAGCAATATGCTGCAATACCTATTCATGAAGTTGTCTGACAAGCATTCTGACCTTCATCTTTTGTGTTTGAAATTACTTTCCCTTTTCTCTGAATGATTCATGTAACAAAATTGACTATAATAATTGACTATCAAGCATTGCTAGTTGAAACTGTATGTTTCACTTAACATGAAGACAATGCGTTAGAATCATAAATTAATTGAAAACTTTTCTGGGAAGATTAAAGTATATCATGATTAAATGGGATCATCAGTAGCTTTCTTTTAAAAAAATACACCTAAACTGCAGCTTTCAACACCAAATATTAAGTTACAGGCTGTTCTCAGACTCTGGGAGCAATTATTTGAACAAGTCTTTCAGTTCCCCTGGACTCTTTGCTACATCCACACAACTGGGGGCGGTTCTAGTGCTTGGTACCGTGCTAAATGGTTCTCTAAGTATGTGATTAAGCATTTACTGGCCCACGCAAAAGAAGGGCCAAAACCTAGTCTTATTGTTGAGTGCTTCTGTGAAATACTTAAATGTTTGAGCTGTTTTGTGAAAACTGAGTTGTTGGATTTTTGCAGAGTCTGTGTCCGTTCCCGCTGTTGGGATGCCTGTATGGTTGTGGATGGAGGAACATCTTTTGAGTTTAATGATGGGGCGATAGCGTCGATACTGATTGACACAGAGGATGCACTGTGCACTGTTCTGCTGGAAGAATGAAGGACCCTCGTGTCTTCTGCTGAAACATTTATGGATCCATAGAGGGAAACCATGGGGATATCACAATGCTGCATTATACTGGATGTTGGCTTTTTCAGATGCAAGAGCATTTAGAGGAAGCTTGAAATGCTCTTCATTCCTTTGGGTTGGGGAAACATTAGCCTGATATTTAAGCTGTTTTTGCATCTGGTGTAAAAGAAATGTATCTGAAGTGTTACCTCTAACTTCAGTGAAAATTGACATTTTAACCTGTAAGGCAAACATGAAAGAACAGCCTTTTAAACACAGGTAGTTGGGTTCAAGTATTAAGTCAGTAGCATTAAATATTCAGATGTACAGTTTTTTAGTAACAGTCTGGGACTGAAACTAAGTACCTTCATACATACACTTTTGTAGAAAAGTTGACTATCGATCTAGCAATTTGATGCAAGGATATATAGGTTTTGGTAAACCATGATGTTGATGTAATAGAAATGGAAACACAAACCTTTTGTATGCTTTTCAAAAATTGTACAACTTTGTAGTTTCATACAATTTGTGGCAAATTTTTTTTTGTTCTTCCAGTATTTTTTCTACTTTGTAGGCTTACATCAAAAGTAAAAGTCTGGTTTAGTACATCTTGAATGAGGTAGCTTTTACTTTTTCTGTCTGGCTAGAGAGGGACTTGAAACCCAGAGGTTTTCTTAAGCCCTTCAACAGGAATTTACAAATTATAGAAATCATGTTGAAGTAAGATAGATTCCTTCACTGAGTGGATTAACTGGCAAACAGGTGTTCAGTCACACTAGTGCATGTAGGTGGCTATCATTAAGAAAGATATTTGGCCTTATTAAGTTAAATAGTTTGAAATATTAGGTTATGAATTTCTTATAATTGAAGAAGAATGAGATATCCTGTGTACTAGGAGTTGGAGCACAAGTTAATACCTATGTCTTCCAGTTTTCTCACCATATGTTTTTACCTTCCTCAGAAAGTTCCAATCCTGTGCTGAATTCTACTGATATTTAACTGGCAACAAATGAATTTTACATGTACTCTGCTCATGTTAGGTAAGCAAGTTGATAATAGAATAAAAAGTTCTGATTATAGAAGAGGAAGTGACTTTTTAAATAATGTTTTGGAGAAACTGTAAACTGTGACTGCCTTTTAAATCTGTGCTGATAATTGCATAGAAGAGAGGGCAGAATTTGACAGAGTTAATATTCCTACAGCAGGAACTCTTCTACTACATGACTTGAAAAAAGTATGTTTTGTCCTGTCTACTACAGATTAGCTTCCAAAAGTGAGTTTTCTTTAAACTGCTTTTGAACGGAGAGACTTCTATAACAGATGTTCTCAGGTCTAATGGAAATGTTCTCCAGTGTGGCCAATCAGTATACTTACTGACACTTGCAAAATGTGAACTGCTTTTTATAGGTGGAGGAAGTAGGTAAAGGATTGTTTCTTCTACGACTTGAGTGAATACAAGATGAAAACATACTTTAGAGGAAATCGATTTGACCATTCAGTTCTAGGAAAATGTGATACTGATGGAGATTTCTGAATAAGCTATCACTGTTTGTGTACATTTTACCTTTTAAGTGTGCTGCAAAGTGAGTTATTTACAGTGTTTGGCTATCATGATTGCACAGCCAGAGGGGAAAAAAAAGTAGCCAAATAAGTTTTCAAAACTTGGTAAGTTCAGGAGCTATCAGAATAAAGCCTTTAATGTCTAAAAAAATCTGCAAAACTTGTCTAAAGGTAAAGATGCAAAAGACTAATCTTTCTAAGGTTGTGTGCACACAAACTAGGGCATTTTAGTTGTCACTCCATCAGTAACCAACCAGTTAAGGATGGTTTATGTGCCTCTACCTGGTACACCAATCAATATGCTGTTAAACCCCCAAACCCACCAATGCCATTAATGCTAATTTATTACTTCTTAGGACTTTGCCACTGTTAGATCAGATTTAGGTATTGAACACCTGCATAGACAAATTATGTCAGAAATGTCATCCCCTGCTTATTTAGGTATTTGTGTACTGTAATGTTTTAATGGAGACTGATTAGTCTGATCAGTAAGCATACCTCTTAAACACGCCTGCCATTCCTTATTATGAATGTCAAGACTAAAAGACAATGTTTTCAGGCCTGACAGATCCAAAATATGATCTGGTTTAGGACTTAGTAAGTTTTCACAAATTCCTAACTTAGTGAAATGGAAGCCTGACTTACTCATGAGTGGCCTCTACTGGTTTTGTCTGTAATTTAATTGCACTTCTGTTGAAGCATTTACTGGTGAATGCTTAAGTTAATTAGGATGATTCAGAAATTTATAATAAATGAGAAGCAGCTACCTTTTTTATTGAAGAACTGTAGAATACTTTTTAAGGATCCTTTATTGCAAGGGATTACAGTACAATTTACCTGGTAGACAGTATTCCATGACAGGACAGAGTATTGGTTTAACACTGATTTAATCTGCATGGACTGGCGGTGATCTTTGCACCTCTTCTACCTGCTGAGTCAAATCCATGGTCTTTTCATTTAGTGCCAGTCCACATGGTGTTCTGCTAAACTAGACCTGTCATTCTTTGCCTTTTTTTTTTCTCCTCTCCACATGGTGTTTATACATTATGTAATAAAAATGAAAAGGTTAATTGATAAATGAAGCTCTCCTGTGCCTTATTTCGACTTTCAAAAGTGTTTCATGCACTCAGCTTCTTCTGTTATTGTTCAGGTTCTTTTAGTAGTTTGTAAGCCTTCTCAATGCAGAGACTGCTATGTAGCAGTTTTTGGTATGAATTGCACAGAGTGAGAAAATAAATTAATAAGAGGTCAGTGGTGCACCTTAACTCCAGGGACTTCCACTGTGTGTCTGCTACAGCTGCCACCGTAACCAACAGATGGGTGATAGTCCAACACTGAACCTGGTAGCTGAAAGTAGTTCAGGACTATTCCATCTAGCTAAACCCATACTCCTGTCCCAATTCTGTAGATGGTTTTAAAGCACAGTCTAGTAAATGCTAAATGTATTCATGATAACACCCTGCCCTCTAAACCACCAGTTTATACATTGGTTGGGTAAATTCCCCTCTTTGTAACCCTTTACACAAAGTTGGTGGGAAATTAGGGAAAGCATTCTCCTATTAATCAGTCATTTTGTACAACATAGCAATTTCTTATATCTTTATTAAATGCAACAGAAGGTGCATAGAGTTACATTGTGCACAGGGAGAAGTATTTATGGTAGTGCTAAGATGCATAGATTTACTTTTTTCCTTGAAGTAATTTAAGGCTTAAAACTAAGGCAGCAAATGGTGAGGCAGTAGAATATCCAAATCCCCTTACTTCTCCAGTTTTCATAAGGTATGTTGCCCATTAACATCTTTGTAAGGGACACAAGCCCATTAAAGAATCAACTGTTACTTACACTGTTAAACTGAATAAAAACCAAAACAACTTAAAACAGATTAGCATGATAATGTGTTTTATTTACTGTACTCTAGAAAGTCAAATTAAATATCAAATTCTAGTACTCATACAATCTTCCCACAGTAAAGTGTTCTGCATCACCAGATAATTAATACCTGAATGCTTTTCTTCAGACTGCAACAGGAAAAACTGTACCTACGCAACAGCCCTGCAGTAATGCTGTAGGCTACTCTTAAACATCCATTAATAAATTCACCTGCCTGCTGACTGCATTCATGTGGAAAACAACAGCATATTTATGCCCTACACAGGGTCCAAGTTTTGCCCTAGAACTTATCAGCTAGAACACCTTTTGGAACATTCTAGCCTGAAGCACAAGGACCCTGATAATAGATGCAGATGAAAGTTTCAGTTAAAGTCATTACTTGTCCCTATCCTTTTATTTGGTTTGGTTTTTTTAAATTTTTTTGGACAGTTCCTCAGCTTTTTCTATGACTTTAACCAAAAAAAAAAAAAATCCACACTAGACAAGAGTGGTTAGTGATACAGATACAAAAAGTGAAGTGCTACTACAAACATAAACTATTACAAAAGAAAATTGATGTTTCTTGCTAGCACCAAAGCATCTCTTCCCTCCAGCATTCTTATGCTGCAGTTCCATGTTTTGGTTTTTTGGTCATATCTAGAATCTTTTGAGCCCTCCTCCTGCAATATTTTTACCACTATATCAGCTGCAGTTGTTCTTTGGAGGAAATTTTATCTGAGATCAGACTCACAGAAGCTACACTAAGGTTCTGTAACATTTAATCAGAAAACCTAGCACTACCACGTGAAACCAGCATGGATAACCAACATCTATTTTTACAGATGCTAATTCTGAATGGGCTTCTCAGACTGTATTTTGCTAACAGCACACAATACTGAAGAAAAAATTATCATTTGTGGCCTGCTAAGTAAAAACTTTACTGTAGCTCCTTTATGCTGCCTCCTAACTTGTACGGTATTGAGCTCTCTTAGCTGCTTTAGTGTAGACATCCCCAAGTTACTGTTTTCAAGTTTGATTAATTCAGACTCAGTCCTCTTTTGTGCTCACAGCTTTTCATCTTACTGTGCATTTTGTTCAATTGAGTAGTTGAATAGGTTTAATATCTTATTCACTTTGAGCTCTGCAAATTCCTTAATAAACCTTATTAAGACACCTAGCACCTCTGCAAGCTGTTCCAGGAGTTAGGGAACAGCTTGCAAAGGTTAACTAAGAGGAATTAACTCTTCCAGGAGTTAACTGGAAGTTTTTCAAAGATCCCCTGTATAAAGAAAAAAAAAAGCCTGAAAAATTCTACAATTGCTCACAGATCATCAGATCTCTAAAGGCTTGAAGTACAAACAATGCTAAAAAATACTATGAAACATCATTAAGGTATAAGAGCAAATTAGAATGCTTTTTACAATAACAGTACTATGATTAAAGGTGCTCCAGCACTTTGTTTCTTAAGGAGCTTCAATGCACAGTGTGTCCATTGCATCCAGTGCACTGTACATATCATAAGAAACTAGGATTTCTCAGTGTCAATCTGCATTTGATTCCCCAAATCTCATGGTCCTTTTTGCTGCCAACAGTTGGCCTTGCAATGGGTGTAAAGTGTGAACGATTGATCTTCACTGCAGGCAGTGCCTCCTCTAGGAGCTGCAGGGAGCTGTCAGTCACTATCCCAAACACCTGAAGAGTCTTCAACGTTTGAATTTCACCAAGTTCTCTAGAAAAATATGAAATTAATCATGAAACTAAAAACATTTTTTTTCTTTTTTTTCAGTCTGTACCCAAGCTAGAGAACTCCATTTCTGCTAATTTTTAGAAGAGGGTAACTACTTAAACACATTTAATTGACAGTAGTTCTCTGTCCTGATACTTCATGAAACTGGATGAATATATTATTTTTTGCTGATCGATCTCTCACAGATTGAAAACCAACTGGTTCTTCCCCTTTCATTTCCCTGGACTTTACAATTTAGAACAAGTGGAAGAAATTGCCCCAGATGAAGTTTCAGGGTATGGTTCAGAGGAAACAAGCCCCTAGGTACTATCAGTTTCCAATTTGTGGCAATGTTTTGGTGAGTATCCAGCTGGCTTGATTGCTTTACATTTTCCCTATCATTATATGAACTGTGTATCTTACTGGACAAAGTCAAAAGGCTCAGGCACACGCTGCTACAGGAAAGGTTCTTCAGATGCATATTTTTAATAGTCCTGTTCCACTCACAATCTTTTTTCTTGTTGTTGACCATCCTTTGGATTAACATCCTTCCTTAAAGTATTGAGATTGAAATCTTCTATGCTAATAAAAGGCAGGAAAAACCCCCACAAACAAGTAACTATAAGTGTTTCAGCTGCAATCAATAACTAATAAAGGTGCTCACAAAAAATATACAGAGGTTAGCTAGTCAACAGGTACTGTCAACTCTGCTAGCTTTTCCAAATCTTGCTGCATAGTTGGAAGTCCAGGACTGACATCAATACTGGTCACTGGCAGGACTGGAAACTCCAGTTCCAGTAATGAGTAACATTTAGAATGCCGCTAATGCATGCATGGAGCAGCCAGTTCCATGAGTGCAGACTGATATCAGTGAGAGATTATCTCAGACACCTTTGGTTCCAGTCTGGATTCTCAAAAGGTACATGCTCTAGCAGACCTAGAGCTATAGCGGCTACCCATGCTATAGCAGCTTATTTTATCTCAGTTTTATTCACAATTCCTCACACCAGTAAGCTTTTCAAAACAGTACGTGCAATTCTAAACCTAAAATAAAGCAAGTTTAAATTAACTTACCCTCTGCATGAGTAGCAAACCAAAACTATTTGGAGATTACTTACAACAAGGCAGCAGGTGATATCTGATAACATCGACTAAGACAAAGATGTTGGAGGAACATGAGTCGCCGAAAATACTGGAAGCACTCAGGCTTTAACATCATGCTGTCACTGTACAGAAGAGCACATTAAATAAAGGCTTAGGTATAAAGCAGCAGTAAATTTGGTATTTCCAAAATTCAGACCAAGAAATTTAATAAACATCAACTTCTACCACTAAAGTATGTTTTTGCTCAATATAGAAGCAACCCATCTCTAGTGTATGTGTGCTGTGAGGGGAGGAATTTTGATTTTCACTGAAGGGCAAGTGAAGCAGAAGTTTCTCTTCACACAGATAGTCTGCAGCAGAACTCCTGCCAAGAACAGACAAGATTCTTCACAGAAAGATTTCAAAATACTGTCATTGACTAGGTCAAAACCAAAATACACCCTTCTTTTTACTGTTATGTAGCCAAGTAACTAATTTATATCAGAGAAGAATTAAACTCTCTCTAGGATGCTCGGCTCATAAACTGTAGGCATCTAAATGCTTTCCTCCATTCCACCTATCAACTACCCTCACTTGCTAGTTAATAAATCCTGTAGGTATATAATATTTATGATGAGATAGCAAAGAAATCTTCAAGTTAGTTACCTACTCCAGATTAGGTCATGCCAGATAGCAAATCTTTTGTAGTTTTAGCCTAGGTAGTATTTTCTGGTGCAGTGCTGTGCAATCATGTATTATTGCTAATCCCCTGTGCCATAAGGATTTAAGGACTAGCTGCACAGATCTTACCTGAGATCTAAATGGACAAGAAAAGGACATCTTTCCACCAGTGTTTTCACATCTGAAAAGAGTCACACAGAGTCAGCCCACCTTTCAGTAACAAGATGAACACGCTTTATACAGCCTACTCACTTCCATTTATGTTCATTTGTATGTTCTCTACTAGAACCCCACAACTAAAGCTCAACTTTTTGTTTGAAAGATTCGTGCTTAAGACAGCATACAGACTGCCTATCAAGATACTTTACATGGACTTCTTTTAATCCTCAGCAAAGCAGATACATTTAGTTCAACGCAGTGTCCCTAAAAGTCAGTTGCACCACCAACTTAGCAAGGGAGTAATTCAAGTGATATTTCTGTGAAATCTACCAAGACATAGTAATGGTGAGATGACGGAAATAATTACATGTAGTGAAAAAGCAACAGAAATTTTCCATACATCAAATACCCTTTCAGAACACCAAGTTTAGGCATCCTTATTTTTACCCACAGAAAGTTCTTTCCTCATGACAAAATTATAGTTTTCCTGATTTAAACTGTAAATTCTTGAGACCTTTTCATTGTGTGCAAATAGCATTGACTCACCTGTGGCTCAGATATCACCTAAAAGCCACTGTTATTAGCAAGGTGCTAAACAACATGCAAGAAAGCTTTGGTATTTAAGAATTCATGTGCAAGAACTAAAGAAAACAATACCTAAATGATGATGATTAATGTGCTATTCAAGTCTTATGGCATATCTATTGCACTGAAACAGAGTAAAGTCACTCAGTGTTTGGCAAACAGAAGAGGTTGGCACGTTGTCTCTAATGGTCCAATCAACAGAAGGTTTAAATTCTTGATGTGAAGGAGATTATGTAGCGTATTTGTTTGTGGGTTTGGGATTGAGATAAGATTTGCATATTTCCTCACAAGGAGAAGACATATCGAGGTCTGTGTGATGTTAAAAGAGAAATAAGAGAGGTCACCACCCACATTTCAGCTAGTGCCCTACTGTCAAAATTCATTCATTGAGAAAATTAATTTCTCTTTAGCACCAAAGCAATATCACTCTTACCTACACTCTTGTTAGTTTTGTTGTACCCTCTCCCCAAATCTAGATTTATCTGCATTTTCTATTACCCTCTCAAATAGTTAAATGTTGATTATTGAGATTATTTGGCATTTCAATTAACTGGCATCTGTATGTCAGTCTGAAACTCAAGCAGTTCCTGTGACTTTTCTCCTTTGGAAGATGCCTTCAGCAGCCACAACAGTAGAAGCCTTAAGAAAGCTCCAGGAACAGTATCTGGAAGGTCAATTCACAGCGAAATACCAAGTCCGGCTTCCAGAAGTAAGGGCTTCAGAAGTAAGGGCTATACCTTTTAACTGAAGATGAAATGAGCTTTCACCTGATTCTTTTTAAATTCAGAAGAAAAATCATCTCACCCTTCTTGTCTGAGCTAGAAATATGAGTAAGATTCTGACATCAACAACTTCATGCTATACAGAGCATAAAATCAGTGTTAGTACATGATTTTTGTATATACAGAGTGGATGCCAACCAGAAGAAAATATAAAGATCCCACAATGGGATAAAGATTTGTCATGCTGCTATTTACCTGCTATTTGTAGATTCTCTCTGTATCCACTTAAATTTAATTGGGTGACTACTGAAGTAACATGACTGACTGCTGCTTTGACATGTGTGGCTGTGAAGGCACACCAGGACAAGTTCAGCTCCTCCAGCCTATTTACAAATGAACAAAGAGTTGTTAACAAGAATGAAATGCAGTTCAAGTTCTGATATTTTCTATTACAGTTGATACTTTTAAAGGAAATACTTGTAACACACCTACTACCAAGTTCCTGTATTCATGAGTAGAAATTCTGCTATGACAATGATTAAGCACTAATTAATGGAGCAGGTTACCCAGCAGAATCGGTCTTTGGATATTTTCAAGATCCAACCAGAGAAAGTCCTCATCAACCTGGCCAGTGCTAATTTTAGATTCTGATCTGGGCAAGGGGTTAGAGTGACTCCCCAAAGCCAGTTCCACCTGGAATGATTCACTACCTTAGGAAGTGGAGTCTCTCTCCAAGGACTGCCACAGGGAGACACTGTCTTTTCATCAGAGTTTGTGACCTGAATCTGTTACTACCAAACAGATGGTCACATTGAAAGGAAAAAACACTATCCATCATTAGCACTGGTCAGATGACCAATTAATCCTAATTAGCATAAAATACTTTATAGTTTTATATAAACATTGGTCGTGCTGTGAGCTTAACTCTCTTTATGTGCTTGATTACCTATAGTCTATCACCATGGGGCTGGATGAAGTATTGTTCTGTGTGCAGGTGGTGTAGCTGTAACCAGAGGACAAAGACACGAGGAATGCACAACTACAGCATTTAGCTGGCAATCTCTACATAAATGAAAAAACAGTTAAATTGCCACTAGCATTCCCAGGATCAGGTTTGCCATCTGCTATTCACTGTGCACTGCACAGACTGCCAGCCTCTAAAGAGCTCATGATCCAAGTAACCAGACCAAGCAACAAGATTAAGGCTTTGGCTGTCCACTAACTTGCAATTTGATTAAAAAACATGCTTTTGCAGAAGGAAAGATTAAATATGTTGTCTCGCATGTCACGGGAAGTCAGCAGAAAGATTGGGATATAAATCCCAGACTCACTGGGGCTCAGTTCAATGACTTCCTGCCAGCAGATGGTTTAATCTCTGAAGAGCTGTAAATCTGAACACAGTGCTTCATGAACTAGAAGGTTACTGAAGGAATATTCTACCATGGAAAGGCACAGTGTTCTCTGGCATTCATGCTGTACTCTGATTGCAAAGAGAGCTCTGGGATTCCACTTTCCAGTTTCAAAGCATACGCTTTCACTTTGAGAGAATCACATACTGTTTTTGTTAAGAAAATCGAATTTACAGGATATGAAAGGGACATAAATGGGGTTTTATCCACCAACAAGGATGAATAAGGAAAAACTACCAAAGTGCATCTTTGCTATTATGGAAGAAAATAGCATGATGGAGAGAAACTACCTGACTATTCCGCTAATATTCAACTGTTAGGCATTTAGGAACAGAAACAGGCACGTAAAAAAAAAGAAAAGGTGTTAGATACAAGTATAACTGGGAGGCCCAAGGAAAAAAATAAAAAGGATCCTTTTTCTCAGGAATAGCAGTAAGCAGGAACAGCAAAAACTGGTTTTGTCTTACACAGAGCAGCTGCTCAACATCATCTCCAAGGCTTCTGCAGAGAACCCTGAGCACCCACAAAGGTTTAGTCGTATCAAATTGGGATTCCTAGCAATGCTCCTGGGGAGGGAAAAAAAAAAAAAAGTCTGATAAAATTTAAATGTTGGAACATCGCTGGCATTGCTAGGATGCACATTTATTTTTAGGAGCTAGGATCCCAGGCACCAGTGACTCACTAAACAAGCAGTACTGCATCTTTAATCAACTGACAAACCTGAGTCACTAACGGTCTCAACTCTGTACTTGCTAAATCAAAGCACAACATTGAAAGGGATACCTGTCTATTTAGTTGACATTCCTGACAAGTCTGCATGTTTATGAACTACCAAGTTTACAAGGAAAAGATTTCTTTTCACCACCTTCTGTTGTATGCCAATAAACACATACCATAGCTTATCAGAGATGACTATGCCTCAACAAAAGACAAAGCAACAGTCCCATTTCTGATGTCATCCCTCTGCAAGACAAAGGTTATTCTACAACAAAACATATCCAAATAGCATCCCCTGAACACATTTGTTTGCAAGACTAGAGCAGACATGCATTTGGCAAAACCTGGAAAAACTCATGTGCAGTATCTACGTTTGTACCCAAGGCAATAAAATTCCATCATTAATGCTTGATGAGTATGCAGTTTTCACATAGTTTTCACCTGGTATCAAAAGCCAAACTATATTGATTTGTGTCTGGTTCCCCCTCTCTGGAGTGAGGAAGGCATCAGAAAGTAGGACAGCCAGAATCTCTGCCATCTGACCTATGGTCCTGGCACCTCCACAGTCACCTAATGTGACTGAACAGGAGACTGACTGCACACCCAAGAGTGTCTTTTCAGTACAACCAAAAAAAACAGTTCGCCTGCTTGACAGAATCTGTAATTTTCCACGACCTCAGAGTGAAGTTCAACAAAGAAGTGAGCAATAGTGCAGAAGCACAATAAGCATGTGGTGGTAGAGCCACCCAGAGGCCTTAAAATAGAAGAGAACCTGCATACCAAACACACAGTTCTTCTGGGAGCACAAAAACGGGAAAATAAAAGTGGCTCTGCCGTGCAGCTTGGATGTGGGAACAGCCAATGGACACAAACCCTAGAGAGATGAGCAGTTTCTCCAACCTCCTCCTACTCTGGGGAATTTTTGGAAAAAAAAATGGCACCAAGACACACTTTTCTATAGGGGTGTTTCATCTCCACCTCATCTCTTGGAATATAGGAACACGTAGCTCATCTAGCCTGCCAGCTTGCCCTGTTAGGTGCCTAAAACTGGCCATTTCAATAGACTTCTCAAGGAACAACTCTCCACTGCATTCTTTCATTAGCCTGCACAACAGAAGGTATCTACAGAATATTCCCAAACATGTCACTCACTTGATGATGTTGTCAGAAAGCACTAGTCCCTCCAAGCTGAGGTTCTGCAATCTTTCACACAGACAAAGAATACTCTGGAGATCTGCAACAGACATTGTGCAGTTTGACAAATCCAGGTACTGAAGTCTGAGAAGTCTAAAAAAAAAAAAAAAAAAAAGAAAAGGTCAAGTTGCTAAAATTGCGTTAGAACAGGCTTCACAAATATATCCCACACACTAAAACCATACAAACTTGCACAAACTAGTTCTACTGTTGTGTTTAGCTGCACATTGAGTATTTGACTAAGCTTGCTGGGCCTACTGCTAAGCTACCAGACAAAACTGCAGAACTCATATTTCAGGCATTCACAATTCCTCATAACACCTGAAAGTCTACCCTGCTGCAGTTAAATAATTTTTTTTTGGGTGTCCCATATAAAATGCTGCAGATGGTGACAATTCTTGGTTCTACAAGAAATGAACCAAGAAATGGTTCTGTAAGTGCATTATAACACTCGATACTTTCAAAAAATCACATTGGCTTGGTTTTAAATATCTGACAGGTGAATGCAGATTCTCCTGTTCCAACACATGTCTAACCACTGACCAGCACTTCCACAGGCCACAAACAGCACAAATACTGCTACTGGTTGCTACTACCTTAAAACCAAAACTACATAGAAAAACTGTGAATATTTGAGACAGAGTTTCAGGATCCAGAACATGCAGAAAAGGTCTTACTCGGTTGTTTTAAACAATGGATTTCCAATACAGGCTCTTGGGCAGCGGAATACAGTAACACCTGCGGGCAGCAGGTGTCCAAGCACTCCTGGCAGCAGATTCCCACCAGTCAGATCAAGAGTCTGCCAGAGAGATTCATCGAACCTGAGGCACAGAATTTTACTCGTTAGTGAGTTTAAAAGGGTCACAACAACCACAGAAAGTTTTCAGTGTCAAAAAAAAGACTGAGAGGAGGGAAAACTATTTAATAGACTATATTAATGTTAAAATATGTGAAGCATCTTTTGATTATATATCCACATAGCCCACCTATGGCATAAACTGAATTATACATGAATAAACAAGGTTACAACCATATCATTTAATAGTCCACAGAAATGAAGGTTTCTTTAGTACTAAATTATGAGAAATAATACTTACGAAAGACGATGCCATCTCTTGCAAATCACTGAAACTTTTAGCAAGTCCTTTAGGGGCAAATATGCAAAGATTGCCAAAAGTAATTCATCTGGAAGCGCATCCAGAGAAACACCTTTAGGGAAAGAGCAAAACACACTCTGGTTAAAGCTGGTTCATTCTTGCCTGCTGAGAGATGCCTTGTTTGGTTTGGCTGTTAAAAGCACTTCTACAACCTCTCTAGGCTATACAGACATCAGCCCACTATTTGTCCCCCTTTCAGCTCTTCAGTGTAGGAAGATATTATTACCATCTCTGCATAGTCATCCCTGGTAAATGCCAAAGTTCCCATAATATCAACTCTCTATACATACTAAAGCCATGGAAAAACAATTTTACTGATAACAATGACAATAATCATTATTCACATACTCATTTGGGAAACAAGAGCATCTTAGTTACTGCTTTTCTATTCTAAGGCTTGTGTGATCCTCTATTTTTTTCCCTTCTGAAATGCCCACTCTTCCTATGCATGCAAGGGTCTCAGAAGGGAGCTCAAGGTGAATTATGCTTTTGTGTGATACACAGAAAAAATCAGGTACTACAAACTGCTCCCTAAAACAGGCATGCTATCTCCACCCCAAGAATTATCTGAAAGGATGTGGTACAATCTCAGCTTCTCACAAGTAGATACAGGGCTCCAGAAGGTGTTGCAATTCACATCAGAAATTTCTGGGTGGTGAAGCTCAGCTACAGCTGCCTATGACCCAGCAATCAGTCTTACTTAAAAACAGGGTTGTCTGAGGCCGTTCCCACCTTCCACATGATAGCCTAGTGTCTGGAGAGAGCTGCTTATTTATTTTGCATCCCATACTCACTCATACTGAAAACACACTTTGACACCAGGGAAAGGAACCCAGCATCTTATAACCCCTTCAAGTGTCCAAGGTCTTCAGGTTACAGTCCTGCTCTTTTCCCTGCCAGTCCCTTTATGGCCCAACAGCCAGTTCCTAACCCAGCAGACAGTGCCCCTGTCCAAGACATGGGCTGCAGCCTTTCCAGGAGTATGCCACAGGAGATGGTGTCAAAGGCTTTGCTGAAGTCCAGGTACACACATCCACAGCCTTCCCCTCATCCACCAGGTGGGTCACTGGATCATAAAAGGAGATCAGGTTGGTCAGACGGGACCTGTCCTTCCTAAACCCGTGCTGGCTGGGTCTGATCCCTTGTCCATCCTGTACGTGCTGTGTGATCTCACTTAGGATGATCTGCTCCATAACTTTGCCAGGCACTGAAGCCAGGCTGACGGGCCTGTAGTTTCCCGGGTCCTCCTTGCAGCCCTTTTGTGGAAGGGTGTGACATTCACTAACTTCCAATCATCTGGGACCTCCCCAGTGAGCCAGGACTGTTGGTAGATGATGGAGAGTGGCTTGGTGAGCTCTTCTGCCAGCTCCCTCATCACACTTGGTGGATCCCATCTGATCCCATAGACTTGTGAGGATCCAAGTGGCTCAGCAGGTTGCTAAATGTTCCCTCCTGGATTAAAGGGGGGTTATTCAGCTTCCTGTCTGTCTACCAGTTCTGGAAGCCAGTTGCCCTGAGGACAACCTGTCTTACTGTTGAAAACTGAGGTAAAGAAGGTGTTAAATACCTCAGCCTTTTCCTCATCTTTGGTGACTATGTTCCCCCCCATGTCAAACAAAGAATGGAGGTTTTCCTTGCCCCTCCTTTTGTTACTGATATATCTGTAAAAGCATTTCTTGTTATCCCTGACAGAAGTGGCTAGATTTGAGTTCAAATTGTGCCTTTGTCTCTCAAATTTTCTTTCTACATGATCTAACTATATTCCTAAACTCTTCCTGAGTAGCCAGCCCTTTTTTCCATAGTCAGTAAGCTCTCTTTTTTTCCCCTAAATTCCTTCAAAATCTCCCTATTCAGCCAGACCCTTCATCTTCCCCCACCAGCTTGCCTTTTGGCACACTGGGACAGCCTGCTCCTGTGCGTTCAAGACTTGCTTCTTGAAGCATGTCCATCCCTCCTGGATCCCTTTGTTTTCCAGGGTTGTTTCCCAAGGTACCCTTTGAACCAGTCTTCTGAGTAGGCTGAAATCTGCCCTCTGGAACTCCAGCATAGAGGTTCTACTGATGGCCCTCCTTGCATCCCTAAGTATTGAAAACTCTATTATTTCATGGCCACTGTGCCCTAGATTGCCTCCAACCACCACATCTTCCACTAGCCCCTCTCTGTTTGTGAACAGCAGGTCTACAGGGGCCCCAGCCCTGGTAGGCTCATTTACCTGCTGAAGCAGGAAATTATCCTCTATATGCTCTAGGTATCTCCTAGACTGCCTCCTCTCCGCTATGTGGAGTTCCCAGCAGACATCCAGCAGGTTAAAATCACCCCTGAGAACAAGGGTTGGCGATTTTGAGACATCTGCCAGCTGCTTGTAGAATAATTCATCACCCTCATCATCTTGGTTGGGTGGTCTGTAACAGACTCCCACCAGGATGTCAGGCTGGTTGGCCTTCCCTTGATTCTGATCCACAGGCACAGTAACTTATTGTTACTGACTTCAAGTTCTACAGTCAAGAGACTCTCTAACATATAGAGCCACCCCTCTACCTCTCCTACCCTGCCTGCCCCTTCTGAAGAGCCTGTAGCCACCCATGGCATCACTCCAGTCACGCGAGTCATCCCACCACGTTTCTGTGATGGTGACTACATCATAGCTTTCCTGCTGCACGATGGCTTCCAGCTCCTCTTGTTTGTTACACATGCTGTGTGCATTGGTGTACATGCACTTCAGCTGAGCTGCTGATTTGACTTCTAACTCTGGCTTTCTACCCTTAGGCTCATCTCTGGAGAGCCTAGTTTCAACCCCTTCCCCCTTCAAACCTAGTTTAAAGCCCTTGTGATCACCCCAACAACTTATGGGCTAGAGCCCTTCTGCCCTTGCCAGATAGAAGCCCATCTGACTCTAGGTACATAGAATTTGCCCCGTGGTCAAATAAAAACAAAATTTTGCTCCCGGCACCAATCCTTTATCAATAAGATGGGTTTTCCTACTCCTCTCCTCATTCATCCCTGCTACTGCAGGAACACCACTTGTGCTTCTGTTCCTTTTGAGGTCTCCTGGAGCACAGCAGGCTGTGACCAGCATCTCCCTCTGAGGGGGGCCTCTCAGAGCCAGCAAACTCTCAAATTTGCTATACCTGGAGGACCACTAAACGATAATGACAGATCCTGGGCTGATACATGCAGTATTTGAGGCTCAACTCTTTGCCCATTGAGAAGATGCAAAGGCATCTGACATGAGTCCTTCACTGAACTCAAGGGGAATTTTTCACAGGTGGATACTGTATATACCTTGTATATACAGTATATACCTTGTATATACAGTATATACCTTGTATATACAGTATATACCTTGTATATACTCTTTCAGGTCTGTGTGCCTCTGAGAGTGAACAAGCTAAAGCAAATGTACTGTGAATGTTGCTCTCTTAGATTCTCAAATACTTTAGATCTGTAAGTTATGCCTATAAGTGAGTTACTGCTGTGCCTACTGTAAATTCTGTATGAATCCTTTGTTAAATTAACTGAAGCTATCAATTAAGTGCTGTTAAGTACTGTTAAACTTTTAGGCCTAAACTGTTGGTCAGTTCCAGGGCTCAAGTTTAGCCAGGGGGTCTACTCAATCTTGTGCCTCAACATAGCTATTTTTTGGGCTGACTTTGGGTTTTGAGTGATTGATTTTAGATCTTACTTTGCTTTTTCTCTGTGCTTTAACCATCTAGTAAGCAGTAGAGTGAAGAATGCCAATGAACTTCGTTGTGCTTTCACTTTTATATTAAATCTGCTTTTGCTGATACCTTTGCCAGTGATTCTTCAAGCAACCTTAAAACATTCATTTGCAACAGGCCCTGCTGGGCCAAGGTGCCACCCATGTCCCACACAGAAAGAGCAGGTAGACACAGGGACATGCAGCACAAATCCCCAGCACACAGACAGGAGCTGTCAGGACTAGGCAGGAGAGACCCATGCTTTTCATTGGCCACAGTTCTGGAGCCAGACACACCACCCTTGTTTAAAAGCTTACATAAAACAGGGTTTATCAACCCAGGCCTGAAAGCCACCAGGTCTGAAAGTGACATTCAGCTGGATAAGAGCAAAAAAAGTAAACAGTAAGGCAGTGGCAACTTGTGATGCCCACTGTCCACCTCTACTGAAGCGTGAGCAGAACCTGGACCAGGGTGATCGTACCTGGCTCTGCCTCTCGGAGCAGCCACGGCCGGCGCACAATAACAAACCCCTTCTGCCGTTTTGGAGCAGGACAGCCTGATGACACCAGCAGGTCTTGCGGCATGTTTTCGTTGCCCAGCTTGTCTTTCTTAAGGACAGACACTCCCACGCTCGACAGGAACTCCGGGGTCTTGCTGGAGTCCCAGTCCAAGCTGGTGGAAACATTAGTGCTGGAGGATGGGATCTCCTGGAGGTGTTTCCTGCAGACAGAGCAAAACCCACAGGCTCTGAGGGTACCGCCAGACCGACCAAACACATGACGGGGACGGCCGCACAGCAGCATTTCCAACTCACACGTAACCCACATCCACACGCGGGGCGATTAAACGGGGGATCTGTGGGCGCTGGAAGCACCAGCAACAGCCATAAGCAGGTGTGTGCTCGGTCTGGCACATTCGGGGTGAGATCCCGCCAGGGACTGAGGGCGCCCCGCTCCCGGATGGGGCGGGCGAGGGGACTGACGGAGGCGGCGGGCACGGCTCGACCCCCGCGGCGGCCTCACAGACCCCAAAACCGGGTCAGGCCGGGACCCCCGCACGGGCAGCGGGGCGGGATGGACGGGGGGAACGGCGGGCGTTCGATCCCGACTGCCGCCCGCTGAGGGCGGGAGAGAAGCGGTCCGGGGATCCCGCGCACGTCCCGCATCCCGCGGGCGCGCACACGCGTGTGGCCCCGCACCGCGTCCGCGCTCAGGAACCCACTCCCGCTCTCCCGGGACCCACTCCCACTCCCCTGGGGTCCCATTCCCGCTTCCAGCGCCCGGGGTCCTCCTATACAGCCCGCCACCCCTAAGCAGCGGCGAGGATCCACCCGCTCCCTCCGCGAGGGCTCACGCGCAGCCTGCCAGCGAGACCCCTGTCCCCGTGTCTCCGTATCCCAGTATCCCTGTATGCCCGTGTCCCGGTACCTGTACATGGCTCCAGGAGGCCCGCGCGCGCCGCCGCGCGCCCCGCGCCTTTTAGCACCGCGCCATCCCCGGGCCGGCCGGAAGCCGCGGGGGGAGGAGGGGGAGCGGCCGCGGAGGCCGCCGGGAGCTGTAGTTCCTCAGCCCCCCCCCCCCGTGCCCGCCCCGGGGCGGGACCGAGCGGCGAATGGCGGCGGCCCGGACGCGGCAGGAGCCGGGAGCGGCCGGAGGTGCCTGCGCGACGTCCTGAGCCCGGTGCCGGCCGCGATGGAGGGCAGCGGAGCCCCGCGGGGGGCGCGGTGCTGAGCGCGGGCTCGGCCGCGGTGAGGCGGCGGCGGGCGGGACGCGGGGCCGGGCGGAGCGGGGCCGCAGTGCCGAGTCACGACAGAGGGACGAGCCACGGCCCCAGGTGGGGCGCGGGTAGAGCCCGGGCACGTCCCTGTGGCGAGGGAAGGGTGGGAGCGGGGCAGTGCTGGGAGCAGCGGGGGGGTCGGTGTTCGTTCTTGCCCCGAATGCTTCCTCCCTCGGGGGCCCCGGACACGTCCGTGCCGGTGCCGCGTGTGAGCCCGGTCTGTGCCGCACAGGCCTGTGCACACCCGGCCCTGGCAGGGATGGCCTCGCATGGAGCACCGGGATCGCGCATCTCCCCTCGAAAGGTGTTCTCTAGGAAGACCTGGAGCTGCCCGTATTCGCTGGACCCGTCCCCAACCATGCGCGTTTACATCCCGCAGCCTTTATACCAGCCTGTCTTTCGGCAGTGCAGCGCTTCCGAAACTACTTGTTTTGAAATTGGTGGGGATGGAAGACTAATCCTGAACGCCCGCTCTTAGTCAGCCCGTTGCTTGCAAATACTGTCCTTTGTTTACTGCATAACGATGGAGAGACGTGCCGGTAAAATTGGGGATGGTGGTACAACCCGTGGCGAATATACACAGCTGTTAAGTCGGATACAGAGGATGATGTATCTCAAATTGACATTAATATAATCTTAAAAAAATTATTTTTTTAGCCGTTTCCAGTTTTAGCTGAAGTCACGGGACAGTTGTTCAAAGGTTATTGAAGCAGATAACCAAATGAAAAAGAGGTGGGGTTTTAGTAAAAAAAAAAAAGGCAGCTGAAATTTATTTCACGTTTCCTGCAGCCTCTTTTTTCTGTGTGAATCACATCACTTTTCTCCGTTAATGTCTGGGAAATCGAAAGATGGTTTTGCTGAAAGGGATAAAATACAAATATTTTTTTACAACCTCGGAGTTACCAGACAGTCTGTTTGCGTGAATGCAGCGTTGGGGCAGCAGTCATGTGACTGCCTTACTGACACCTGCTTTGTGTGAGTGCATTAGCGTGGTAGCCCAGGTAGCGATTTCTATTCTTTTTTTAGATTCTGATTGCATCTGCACAGCGTTTGTGTCTGATTCTATTTTAGTTCCTCTGATAAGCAAGTTATTTTCTTCAGTGTGTTATTTGCAGAGTACTTCCCTAAACCCTTTAAAAGCGTCAGTCTCTGTGGTACTTAATATGTTAAAGGTTGGACTCAATGATCTCGGAGGTCTTTTCCAACCTTAGTGATCCTTTAGTAGAGGGCAGGGCAGTGCTATGTAAAGTAAATAAGCTTCCCATGGTTTTATGCTGATGGTCCCTGCTTGCATTTGAGCACAAAAATCTTAATGTTCTTTGGTCAAGAATTTGTATTTTATTTAGTGCTTCTGTGGAGAACATGGTCTCCCACCATACCAGAGATTAGCACTATTTTGAGTGGTATCAGCACAGCATTTTATTATTTTTTTTCTTGTCAGAGGATAGAAAACTTTTTTTCCCTAAATATTGATACACTGTCAATTAACTGGTTAGTCAGTTTAAATTTTTGCTTCATTACAAGCTAGTTAAACTGACAGGTACTAATAAAATACCGGTCAGTACACAGACTGACTAGAGTTTCTTGGAAGAACAAAGCTGTGCAAATTGCATTCTTGATTAATCTCGGAGGTTGTTTCTCTGAAATAATGCAAGCAGATAAGTTCTTTGGTCAGTTTTCTTAGGCAGTTTGTGGCTATTTTCTTTCTTTAGACAGTTTTCTCACTGTGCTGGGATAAAGCAGCTCTTTCATTGTTGTCTGCTTATAAATACTTACTATTTCCCCAAGCTGCAAGGGCCAATGTGTAATAATGAAGTAAACAAAAAAAACCAAAAAAAACCACAAACCCAACCCCCCCAAACCTGAAACCAAACAAAAAAGAAATGCCCATAGCACACTAAGTGTGGATATGAAAATGGCTGAAGGGATTATTTTTATTTTTAAGAGTCCTGAAATGTGAAAGTTAGCCCACTTTGTTGTTTATAGATGGAAGTGTCAGGGGCTCTTAGTGTGGGGCAGTTCTATCAGTTCCAAAGGTTTAATCATGTCTGTAAAGTGAAGTCTTTCTTTACAGTTCTTAACAGCATCATTTTGCAGAGTGGGGCAGGCTTCCAAACACAGATGTTGGGCATCCTGCTTTTCTTTTGCCAAGTGAAATGTGCTGGTAGAAACTCGATAAGAACTGGTAGATTATTCCCTGACAGAAAGGCAAAAGGTCATCTCTGAGCTGGTCATTGATATTGCTGGAGATGGCAGCTTTCACTTTATGCTTGCAGCTGAGTTGTGAATTTAGCTTGAGGTGGCAGATGCTGTTGCACAGATGCTTGTTTCTGTGTGCTGAGGCTCTCAGTTTTGTTCATTGCTGTCTCTGATATCTCTTTCATAGTTTGGCAACTTTCGTGGGAACAGATTTTTTTCAGATGCAATCATGGTGTTTAAAATACAGAGTAAGGCTGCTTGTTTTTTTCAGGTGTTTCAACTGAAATAACCAAGATGTCTAGAAATGTAACTTTTCCAGATCTGTTTGAGCTCTGCTTGACAATACTTCAAGAAAAAAAAGTCTGTAGTAGTCTAGAAATGGCTGAGGTACCAAAGATAAGAAAACCAGAAGCATAGTGGCTGACAGAGAGAGCTATAGGTTGGCAGACTCCTCTGCTGCTTTTTGAATTCCTGAAAAAAAATCTGTCACAAAAGCTATTTTTAAGCATCTAGAATGTAATGGCTGAGTAAAAGTCAGCATCAGTTTGTCAATTATTGAAATTATCTAATTTATTTCAGTGATGACTGATAGACCTACTGTCAGTGAGAGTATCAGTTGATGTCTTACATTTGGCTTAATAGGACTTTTGATTCTGTTCCTTAGGATGTTTTTGCTTGGGAAGCAAAGCTGGGAAGAGCTACTGTAGTGACTAAGAGGGCCAGTCCCTTGTCAACTACTCTTCATGGTTTTCACAGTTTTCCTAATGAAATAGTGTGATGATTTAAACTTAAGGCGACACAAAACTAGGGGAAATTTCAAGTCTTTTTGAGTGTGGTAATGGAAATCAAAATGCCTTAAAGATTCAGAAACTTGTGAGAAGGGAATTGGTACAAATGAGCAGAGTTTTGTGTTTGTGCTTAAGCAGGAGCAATCAGCTACAGAAATACATGATAGAGAACAGTTTATTGGAGGAAAAGAATAATAAGCTGAATCTGTGAAGGGAATATCACTCAGGTTTTAGTTCTATTTCTGCTTCTCAGTAAGACATGTGAAGCAATATTTGCCCTCAGTTCAGGCCTTCTCAGGCATTAGCTGGGAGACTGAGGGGGGGGCAGTTCCTGGTCCTTGTAGAAGGAAGTGGGTAAGCTGGGGAGAGTGTCAAGGGCAGCAGTGAGAAATTTGCAGAAAGTGTGATAGTAGGCTGACTGGGAAGGATTGAAGCACCAATTACATTAGTCTACAAAAAGAACAGTCTGCTGGTAAAATGTTTTCCTGCAAAGTGTGAAAAAACCCAAACAACTGAGGTACAGTCTGGTCTGGGATTTCTGATTAAAGGGGTATTGGAATCCACTTAAGTGGGACCAAGGTCCTTTCCTCCCAGATACGCTCTTCTCTTTTTAGCCCTTCTTTAAGAATATAATATTGGAGTGTCTTTGATAAATTTGGTGCTATGTAAAAGCTGCAAGAAAGTGTGGTTTTTTTCATTCTCTGCGGTTTCATTCAGTAACTTGAGTATTTCTGTACCAGGCAGAGTAGTTAGTTCATTTGTAATGTAGATGGTCATGAGTGTGGTTAGTCTTGAGGTTGGCAGAGTAATTTAATACTGTTGATAGTAGGGAGTCTCCACGGGAATTAAGTCTGAACTGAGCCCTTCCTAATGCTTGCAAAGAGTTATTAGCTGAGTAAAATAAAAAAGTTTACTGATTTGGTCTGTGTCTGAAATGAAGCAAGAAAACCACCAACACAAGAGCATGTCCTTGTCTTTTTTTGGTTAAGGTGCACTTCCAGTACCAGAGTTTCAGCCTTTGGTCTTATTTGTATTAATATGTAGTTGCCTAGTTCTTTGGAAACGGAGTATGCTGATAAATACTCCTTCATTCATAGCGAGGGATTGTGTTACTTTGTCATTACTTTAATAGGAGCATCTTCTAAGTCATTTAAGGTTGTGCAGTACAAGAGAACTCTTCTGAAAGTAGTTATTTGTCTCAGGAGAACATTTTTTAGAAATTCAGGAATTTCAGCTAGAGGGTTACTAGGGAACTGTGTGCTAATAGTGAGAAGGCTGTCTAACTAAAGTGAAGAAACAATGATGGGTAAGGAGCTTACCTTTCTTTAGCTAACAACCAGGTTCAGAGGCAAATGCTGCTTTCCACAGGAAGACATGGATGTATAGCCTACAATACTGTATTTTAAGGTCTGATTCCAGTAGCACAGGTCCTGAATGTGTCTGCCCTGTTAGGCTGGATTTAGTTCACAGGAAGAGCTCCTCTCAAGCATTACATTTCTCATTTTGTGGACTTTTTTCCATTTAATCTATTTGTGTGGAGAGCTAGTTTTAAGTTGTTTCTGTCTAAAAATTTAAACTGTTTGTGTTTACATTAATTCAAAATAACTGTTATTAATAGCATTCTTGTAAAAAAATAGGCCTTTCATTATGTGTTTTTAGATCAAAATCACAAAGACAAACATAAAGATGTAGTTTACTGATAACTGTAAATCCACTTCTGTCTTTGGAAGCGAGTTAAGTTGTGGTAGGACTCAATTCCCTCTTTGTTTTAGCCTATCCAGTGCATTTTTATAGTACTTCTGGAAGTTCCCTCGTGGTAGTAGCTGAGTGCAGCATCTTGCACAAAAACTTTTCACCCTCTGTTTTGATAGCAGCTTTTAGGTGTGACTGTAGTAAAACTTCATGACTAATAAAGTGTATGCCATATAATTTCTTTTGTTTACGTAGCAAAGGTGTGGCTGTAATGGGCACCCAAAGCTACAGGTCAGATAGCACTGCCTTAATGAAGTCGATACATAATTGCTTTGTATTTTTATTTTTGTAGAATTTGCTGCAGTACTATAAATACAGAAGACTGTTTTCTGAGGAAACAAGAATGGTACGGTAGAATAGATAAGGACTAGCTTAGAATAAGTGATTGAGAAATAGATTAGATATCCTGGGTTCATGATTTACAAAATATCTAGCCGAAATGTAGTACCGAGAGGTAGTAAGGGGATGCTTTGACCTGACAGAAATGTCAATAATTTGATAAACATGTTTGATGAAAGGCGGAAAATAAAAAGTGTGTATCTTTGATGAAAAACAGAAGGATTACTCGTTATTTTCAGAATATGAGATCCTCTGTGCACTGATATGGAGGAAACAGACTGCTCTTACTGTTTAAAATTCAAATGTGAAAGTAGAAAATGTGAAGAAATAAATTTTTGGGAGAAAACAAAATCACAGAGTAATTGTCTTGTGTGTCCTCAAGGAAGTAATGGCATCACAAAGTTTGGAATTTTTTAGTGCAAATGGGACAGTTTTCACTGCTTAGTGCCCTCATGCATAACAAATCTGCTTGAGCAGTATACTGAGAAATTAGTAAAAGAAATGGTTCACTTTACCAAATTATGAAGGTATTTAAAAGTAAATCAAGGGAAATTTTAGCAGTGGCATTTCTTTTAAATATCCAGAAAAGTGAAAGTACTGAAAGTCTAACAGTGGGGAAGCCATTTCAAAAACTGTTTCCCTTAAATCAAACCAGCTGAAATGGTAATCTTGATGGAGAAGAAAGACTGGCCACAGTAATAAACTTTTTTTTTTAATGATGTTTGAGATGCCTGTGGTAAAATGATGCTTATTAAAAAGGTCTGAAGCAGTTTAACTAATGAGGTAACAAGTCAGTGAAATGTTCTGTAATAGATTTGTGCAGCTCGCTGCCCCTTTGATAATAGCATGTCTGTATGAAAATGTATGAAGTTTTTAGGCACTCTTAGCAGTCCAGACTGTAACTGGGGAGCTAAACACAGAAAGATGAACAAAGCAAAAATGTATAATAGGACTAATACCAAATGAGTTGACACCTTTGTTTTTCTGAACATGAACAAAAGAGGTCTAGGAAAGTGAACTGAAGGCTTGACATTTCAAACCTAAAAGAGGTACATCACAAGTAAGCTAACACATAATTTGCTGCATTTTTATGCTCTGTTAACTCTGACTTAAAGAATTTAAATGTGTAGTTGAGGTATGGTTCATTTAAAAAGTTCATTAGCTTTTCAGAAACATTTAATTTAAGCATTTAACCCTTTCTCCAAGTTAGTTGATTACTTCTAAAGGGGAGAAAAAGAGCAGAATAAGAGATTTGACTTCTGGATCTGTTATATATCAAGATGATGAACAGGAGTTCTCCTGATACATTGCTAGAAATGACAACATTGGAATGACATGATATTTTGGTTTCTGTGGAGGACTTCAGAGCACCTTGCTGAAAATCTTGACCTACATCTGACCAGAGTTCCAGTCATGTGAAATACAAAAATTCTGCTGATATGTTTTAAAATATCCACTTTTCTGCCGAAGTTTATTCCAGAGATTTTAATGTAGTTCCATGTCTTTTTGTCTTACAGTTCTGATCTCCTTTCTCCAGTGAGCTGCACTGTGTGGCTGGAGCAGTCGTTCAACAATGAGTGGTGCAGCGCTGGGCCTTGAGATAGTGTTTGTCTTTTTTCTGGCCTTATTCCTACTTCATCGGTATGGGGACTTCAAGAAACAGCATAGGCTTGTGATCATAGCAACATTGTTGGCGTGGTATCTCTGCTTCCTTATTGTATTTATACTGCCTCTGGATGTCAGTACGGTAAGAAGCATGAAAGACTTTCTACCTAGTTGCATAAAATGTGCGTGGTATTTTTTCAAAAGACAATCTCTTAAACAGCAAAGAAATTTTCTGTGTAGTATCTTATTAAATTAAACATTTGTTATATTTATGCGTGACAGTGTCTGTGGTTATAATTAATTTTACTGTTTGTTGATCTCATCAGATAAAAAAATCTATTTCAAACATATTAAAATTTTGTTATTTGTTAATAACCATTTTTTTTATCTGTGTAGGCAGCATAAAGGCACTTTCAGCTTTTTACTTACATGCAGATTGCATGTTGTTTTGAGTATTTATTAGTATAATTGCTTTCAAATATAAACTTGGAATACATGGAATGTCTTTAAAAATGGGACTTGTTATTTTTTAAAAAATGTTGTACCTTTTTGGCCATTAATGCAAAATGAATTGTCTTTTAGACTATTTATAATCGATGCAAACTTGCTGTTAACTCCAGTCCTGCAGAAAGTAATGGCTCTTACGTTACTCTTGCTCCAAGGTACGAGCTACCTGTTTTTTTCTTTAGGCTGTTTTTAAATAAGTATTTTATGATTTTATTTTTTTAATTGATTGGAGTGTATTGGGTTTTTAAGACTAATAAACAAGTGTTATCTGGGTGATGCAACATTTGAAGGTTGTAAGCATACAGGAAGGTGAGGAAAGAGGTGCAGAAAAGTGCATCTGTATATGTTGGGAGTAATTATATAGTAGTTCTGACTGATTACCCAACTATTGTTTTTTTATCACACTAGATTTATTTTTTTTTCGTTTTGTTAAAGCAGTAGAACTAAGCATTTTGAGCAGTCTTGCTTATGTTGGTGAATGCTTATCTATCCTTCACAATCTTGAAGACTTTAAACCCGAAAAATGTAATTTTATGCCTTATGAATGAAATAAACAGACTTGTCTGGTACGTAAGCAGCAAATCTAGTTGCTTATTATGATTACATGTATTTAGTAATTGGAGTTATCTGAAATTCACTGTATTCTACCAAAGTAATGATAACCTGGTTTGTTGTCTTCTGGCAGGAAAAAAGTAATCCCCAAAACATGGTGAATGTAGATGAATGTGGGCTCGCTCTTTCTGTGGCCACTAATTCTTCAGCCTCCACTGGCTATTTCCCCACGCTGTAGATGTGTGCAGTGTAGTTATCTGAGATGATCAGAGCCTTTAAGATGTCAGTTGATATGTCCATGCAAAGTATTTCCAGGTTTGTTACCCCAAAGCGGAGGCTGTCTGGATGTTGTATATCCATGGAAGAACAGTGATAGACTCACTGGCACAATATTGCAGTATTTATTTACGACCACCCAGTGTTTGTTAATTAAACATAGTTAAGCAAATACCCAACTTGAAAACTATTCAGTAACCTTTCAATTTACCTGTAGCTTCAGACAAACCTTTTTCATAGAATCATAGAATGCTTTTGAAGGGACCTTAAAGATCATCTAGTTCTAACCTCCTCACTGTGGACACTAGACCAGGTTGCTTAAAGCCCCATCCAGCACACCCTTGAACACTTCCAGGTATGGGGCATCCACAGGTTCTGTGGGCAGCCTGTGACAGTGTCTCACCACTCTTACAGTAAGGAATTTCTTCCTAGTATCTAATTTAAACCTGACCTCTCTCAGTTTAAAACCATTGCCTCTAGTCCTGTCACTCTCTGCCCATATAAAAGGTCCCTCTCCCTCCTTTTTATAATCCCCCTTTAGTTACTGGAAGGTGCTATAAGGTCTCCCTGGAGCCTTCTCTTCTCCAGGCTGAACAACCCCAGCTCTCTCAGCCTGTCTTCAGGGGACAGGTGGAGAAACTTTAGTCATACTACCTGTCATTCTATCATAATTTGATAGTTTTGAAAATATTTAGGCTGTGCCCATAAAATTTTACAACTCAGGCTTAACTAGTTTGACTCTGGAAAACACCAATTATTTATCATTATGCAGTTCTGTCTTAATTGACTTTATTGCTCCTTGACTCATCATTCCTTAATTACCCAGACAAGTGTGTGAAAAGTGTCGTAGTGCAGAGGGATACTTTAGCTTTTTTTTTTTTGTTAATAAAAAGGCTCCTGTGGCTTTTCTGGTCTTCTGAAGCAAATACTACCTTTTAGAAAACTCCTGGCTTAACAAATCAAAATTTGTGTAAGACTGACTGAACCCAACTGGGTAGCAGAAGAAACAACTAATACACTTTTTATGCCACTGAATGCTCTAGGTGATGAGGTCCTTAGATATTTTTTAAAAACCTGCAGAGCTAACTAAATTGAATGATCTTCTGTCTTCAGAAATGTTTTTGATTTATGTGAAGTAATTTCTGCTGAAAAAGAAAAATTATAACCTTATAAATTACTTGATTGAATATTCCTCTGCAATCATTTAGTTTCTGTTGTTTTCTCTAAGAAAGCTTTCTTGTCCAGATAAGTTATTTGGAGTTAGGAAAACAATATTTATTTTTAACTGGTGATTCAGTTTATTTCTTTCTGAGGTAGTTAATCATTAACTCCTTATTCAAATAGTATTGCATTACTTTTCTGCTGTTTTCAGAGACCTTTCTAGATAGGGAATTTATAGAAAATGTTTTTATACTCTTGACTCTACAATTAACAATTTGCTTTGTTACATTGTTACAGCAAACAAAAATGTTTCAAACCTTGGAGTTATATTCCTAATGGAATTATGCCAATTTTCTGGCGTGTTGTGTATTGGACGTCTCAGTTTCTAACATGGTAAGTAAGGCAAAAGAATATGAATAAGACCATGATACAGGTATAATTTCTAAATGCAACATCTTAACAGTCATAGCATATTCTTTATGAATGTGTATCACTATTGCAAAGAGCTCTTAAATCATATATTATTTGCTAGCACTACAGTTTCCATAATAATTACAGTACTAAATTGAGCATACTCTTTTTTTTCCTTGCTATCGTAGAAGCAAATTTCAGGTGGTAGTCATTTACTTTTGGTTCACTTTTGTAGTTGAAACTGAGAAATTTACACATAGATGTGTTTATGGATAGGTTGTCTGAAAAAAAAAGGTTTAAGGCAACCAGATACCAAAACAATTTCTTGAATAAGCTAGGTAATTCGTAAGTAATATTGTAAATTATTTTGCTTTATTGGATATACTATATAAAGCTGTAGATACAGCTACAGAAAAAAGATTGTCTTTGCTTTCAAGTTAGATTAATTTGTGCTTACTGTTCAACTTGTCACTAAATAATTATTTTTGTAGTTCTGTCAAGAATATCAGGGCTGGTAGTCAGTTCTTAGTTATCACAGGTTTTTTGTAGTAAAGCTGACTGTATTGCTTTTATCTACATCTTGGTTAAGGTTTGCCTTCAGATAGGTACCTCTAGAATGAAAACATATAATAGCTAATTTCTTAGAAGCTTGGGACCCTTAAGCTTTAACACCCCTGTCTCAGCATCCTGACACTGCTGTAGTACTTTTGAGGGGAGGTTGGTTTATTGTTTTAGTTGGATTTTTTGTTTTGTTATTGGTGGTGGTGGTTTTCTGTTTGGTTGGGGGATTTGGTTTGGGGGTTTTTTTTGTCTGTTTGGCTGATGTGGTTTGGTTTTGTTTGCTTTTCTCCCAGGATTCTGCTACCTTTCATGCAGTCATATGCAAGATCAGGAGGGTTCTCCATTACTGGAAAGATTAAAACTGCGTTGATTGAGAATGCAATATATTATGGCACTTACTTGCTGATTTTCGGGGCGTTTTTAATATATGTGGCTGTAAACCCAAACTTCAATTTACAGTGGTAAGATAATGTTGTAAGCTCTTGTGTGAGTTCTTACATAATTGTCATTGATAATCTCTTCTGTAGATGAAATTAAACGTTTTTTAAAAAAACAGTTTTAGTTGATTTGATTTTTTGCTAGGCAGTTGGAAAGTTAAATTTTTATATGACAAGTGCTTTTTTGACTATTTATAGAAATTTGTCTTCTGGTTTTCCGATTTTGATATGTACGGCAGAGGAATCCTGTTGCATTTGCAATGGGGTTTTTTTCTCCTTACAAACACATTTGCACAGTTAGTACAGAAACAATCAATGTTTTCAGAATAACATATTTCAAAAGTCAGTATTTTCTGTGTAGCACTTCTGTCTGCTGTGGACTATTTAAAGTTGGTAAGGAAGGTTAAAATAATAGGCATTTGTAGCATTGCTAGTGGTCTTCTATACTAGATGGAATACAAATTTCTGAATACAATATTCTGAATACAAATCCCAGGTTCTGAGGCTGTTTCCCGTAGTGACTGTCATTGTGATGTTTTGACCTCATTTTCAATATTTAGTGAAATTTATGTTGTTTCCTACACTAACATATTCCTTTGAGAACAAGGATTTTTTATTTCCTTCCTGAGGGGAGTCAGAAACATGTGAGATACAGAAAAATTATGGGAACTTTAAATAACAGACTGGCTCCAGGCAAAAGTTATAGGTGATACTAAGTCTATGGCTGTAAAGTTGAAAGCTATGTTGGTGCATAGATACTTCAAGGCTTCTTTCTTGCAGGTGGGGTAAGAGGATGTTTGGGCAGGTTTTTTGTTTGTTTGTTTGTTTTGGTTGGTTGGGTTGGGTTTATTTTGTTGTTGTTTGGTTTAAATTGTTTTGTTGTTTTTTTTTTTCCTTAGGAACCAACTTCAGACTATTGGGATAGCTGCTGCAAACACATGGGGTCTCTTTCTTCTTGTGTTGCTTTTGGGTTATGGTTTGGTGGAAATCCCCCGTTCTCACTGGAATGGGGCTAAGAGGGGTTATCTGCTCATGAAGACTTATTTCAAAGCTGCCAAACTGATGACTGAAAAAGCAGACGCAGAGGAGAATTTAGAGGACATTATGGAGGTAAGTAACTAGCTTTCGCTATGAAATAAGTGAAGGCTGCTGTTAATATGCTCTAAATTTCCTGGTGTGGGACACTTGTGGCAATAGAAAACAATCCTCCATACATTTGTAATGTTTGCACACTTGCATTTTGCTTTTTTTAAGAAAAAATACATATGTGTTGTTCCTAAATACTTCCTTATCTTTTATTAGATCTAGTAAAGCTATGGCTTTTACAGAGCTGTATTTTTTTTTAAACTTTGATGGCTGTCTTTTCCATTGGGAGGGCTGCAACTCTTATTTGACCATTTAAAAATATATTTTATTTAAATTTTTAATTTCATACAATTACACTACTCTGTATTTTTTTTCCTCAACAGGAAGTGCGTAAAGTAAGTGAGAGTATCAAATATAACCACCCCTTGAGAAAATGTGTTGATACAATACTGAAAAAGGTAACAAATTGCTCATCTTCAGCTGTAATTGTTCAATTAGGAGCTCATGTTTTCTGCATGTACTTGTACATTATTTTCTTTCTCTCTTAATATGAAATCTCTATTTGGCATTTTCTGAGTTTCTTTGTGAAATCCTTTCTTATGACGTACGTAATTATTAGTTGTATTTTGATGCACATAGTATTTCAGAAAGAGAAAAGTGTATGCTTAGAGTGAGCTTTTCAATTGCATGAAAAAGTGCCCCAAACATTTACTAATAATTAACAAAGAACACTTGCTACTCATTTTCCAATTCATTTTCCCTTTTCCTTCCAGTGTCCTACTGAGTACCAGGAAAGAATGGGTAGGAACATGGATGATTATGAAGATTTTGATGAAAGACAGAACAGTTATCCAAGTGAGAAAAGTCTGGTCAAACTTCACAAGCAGGTATATTAATAAATGAGAGAATACCTCACTTACCCTGATGTAATGAGGGTAAACGATAGCCAGACAAAGATTTTCAACGCACTTTACCTAAATTGCTAAGTATGGTGGGTTTTGGGAATGCTACTTAACACAAAAGTTTAATATCCCAAGTGATCAAAGTTCTGGATGATTTAAAAAGTGTGCTTTTTGTGTTTTATCTTGATAGGGTTTTAGCTGTCTGTGAGTAAGCCTTGTAACAACTTTGCAAGTGATTGACAGTGCATTCTGAGAAAGAAATTGTGGTAAAAACTTGATACATACTAAAATGCAAAAATAAAGTCATATTTTGGAAAAAGTAGGCTGTTTCTGCCACAGATGGATTGTGATAAAAGTACTGCAGAACTCAGGACTCCAGTATATAGTTCTTCTGTGATTTATGTATTTAGAGAATTAACTGCCCACTTTTGTGAATATACCAAGTTAGTCTTTGTAGTTCTGCAGTGTACACATTTTTGAGGGATTTTGCAAGGCTCTTTTCTCATTTCTTGAAACAAGTACGTTGTAACCCTAATTTCTTGCAATTTATTGTAGGTGATCTATTCAGTACAGAGACACCGTCGTACACAGGTCCAGTGGCAAATTCTTTTAGAGCAAGCATTTTATCTAGAAGATGTGGCAAAAAATGAAACAAGTGCTACACGACAGTTTGTTCATACCTTTCATTCCCAGGAACCAGAGAATAAAATTATTCAGTATTTCTACACACCAACTGTTGGTAAGTGCTGGCTTGCAGATTTTGAGTCTGTCAAGGCATAACTGATACTGTTTTGTGAGAAGAACCAATTGTTTTATGTTAAAAGTTCAGCTGCAGTAGAGGGAAATAAGTGTACAATCTTAATGCATTTATGTAATGGAATAGCTACTAATTTATGCTCTTGACCATAACCTTAAATTTTATTTACACATTTAGTAGCAGTTACATGTTGTAATAAAGCAATAGCAAACTGTAAAGCCTTAGAAGAAGAAAGAAAACAGCAACTCTAAACAACTGGATGGTGGCTACCTTCTACATTTTGTGGGATCTATTGAGGTGGCACTGCTCTTCCAGTAAAGCAGAGGAAAAGACTTTTCATTTGTCATGGGCCAAATATTAGCACATATGGCTGCTTGTGCATCTTTTCAGAAAGTATCTTCTCCTAATCATGTTTTAACATATAATTTGTTGCACTAGCAGTGAGTTATTTCCAGGGCAGGACAATAAAATTTTATAGCCTAAGCTCTGTTTCTGAGAGAGTAACAGATAAACAAACAAGATGTGAATCACTGATAGTGTCTGGGCCAAAACTGGAGAGTTGTTCTACATAGCCCACACCCCTCAATCTGTTTGCAAAATTTGCCTCCCCAAATCTCACCCTGTTTTCCTCTGTTGGGCATAGGATTCCTTAGCGCTGAAGCAGATCTCTGGACTGGAAAAGCCTGAAATTAAGTGTGTGACCCCATAGATTCCAGCCTTGATTTTAAGGGTGGGCATGCAAGAAGTTCAAAACATCTCTTGTGAGGGAGTTCCATTTCTGGTTTTGTAATTTTCATTAACCTATTCCCGGATATGTGTGTGTGTTTGCTTTTTCCAGAGTGGTACTGGGAATGTCTTCTACGACCATGGTTTTACAGAGTGCTTGCAGTTGTGCTGGCTACATTCTCTGTAATTGTTGTGTGGTCAGAGTGCACATTTTTCAGCACAAAACCAGTTCTATCACTATTTGCAGTTTTCATACAGCTGGCAGAAAAGACATATAATTATATCTACATAGAGGTAAGTTGGAGACAATCACTTGACAAAAATATTTTCAGATGGATGGTTATGGTAACAAAGTCTGTCAGATAGATTTAGCAATAAATCTCTAAATAATCTGTCAACTTTCAGAAGGTCTCTACATATATTATACCACACTTTGTTTCTATGGAGGAAGTCTGCCTTTTGCCACTTCTTAAAGCTCTCCAATACCAGGTCAAGGTATGACCCAGCTAGGCTGAATAAAATGTGTAGAGTAATTTCTGAATCATTAGCTTGGAGTTTAGGTGCTGATTAGACTTTGTGTCTAATCAGCTGTGTGTGACCTCTCTTTCCTAAACAAGAATTTGCTGATGACCAGGAATCCAGTCACAGATGCAGTTACCATATGTGTGCACAAACTTATCAGTAAAGGAACTGAACTAAAAAATTCCAGTATACTTACAGAAGGTTGATTTGAAAACACTTGGTTTTATCCCATTTTTCTGAGAAGAAATGTCAAATCAATCCTAGTAATTACTGAGGCAATTACAGAAATTTTATTTATATAACAAGAAGCAGAATAAATGTTCCTAGGGTCATCTGTGTTAGCTTATAGGGAGAATGTTACAATTCTCCATTTAAGTTAGTCAGAAAAACTCCTGATACTCTTCTCAGACCTGGTGGTATTGTCTCATCTCAAAATTAAAAATTGAGACTGGAGATAGCCTGTTGCATGCACAGACTGCGTACCGAACGCATTAAAACCTTTAGTAGAGTTCTATATTGAAACAACAACTTTTTTTTTTCCCCTAGATGGCCTGTTTTCTTACCATCTTTTTCCTAAGTATCTGTGTTTACTCTACTGTCTTCAGGATCCGTGTATTTAACTATTATTACTTAGCTTCACATCATCAGACAGATGCATACAGTCTCCTTTTCAGTGGCATGTGAGTATGTGCCACTTTTTTTTATATATTTTGCAGGTTTCCGATCAAATACACAATTGAAAAGGTCCAGGAAACTTTATGTTCTTTAATTTATAATTATATGGGTATAAATCCTAATGAGTATATCATTATTCTGTGATAGATTCAGTTATGATTTTGCAGTTAATGTAAGAAATTCTTTCAAATGCTGTTGCCTCTTGCATTTGTGCAGGTTATTTTGCCGTCTTACTCCACCATTGTGCTTGAACTTTTTGGGCTTGACCCATATGGATGCAACAATCTCTCACAAAAAAACTCAGCCAACTGCTTATACATCTGTAAGTACAGGAAATGTGGTTTAGAACCTTCAATATGGTTTTGAGAATAGGCAAAGTATTTTTAAATACTTCTTATAATAAGGTTCAGATACTCAAGTATCTTTTTACTAGTATTAAATGGTGTAAAAATACTTGATTGTGGACCAGGAATTTGGTAATGATTTCCAGGAGTCATAAATAGGTAATTTTTTCAGGTTTTGTCTCTTTATCATAAGAAAGTAAAATATTATACTTTAGAGTTCAGACTGTTCTTCACTTCCTTGTAACTTTAACTTCCATTGGATTTAGCATATAGGACTTCTCTATAGATTGGGAGCAAACCTAACTTGCTACTGAAAATCAGTGAGTTTGTTTTTATTGAACAACTGGTTTCTGTGAGATGTTGCAACATCTTACATCTTGTTGCTAGTTACTAGATTCTTAGTGTTGTCTTAAGACTCCTTTCACAGCAAATGAAAAAATCCATCGGATTTGCACTTGTTCTGAAGTAGGTAAGACTTACAAAATCTAGCACCCTAGAAACCTTAGAATGAATAGATACACTGTTGGAGGTGGCCTTTATATCTGCTGATTCTGAATCAACTGTCTGAATCATATCTGTGATGATAATACATGCCTGTGTTTCAGTAACTGTAAAGGATTGTGTGTTTGTGTGAGATGGCACAACCTTTATGGGCATACATAGAATGTAGCTAATTAAAGCTTGTTCTTTTGGATTTTTTTCCCTAGATAATGGGATCCATGAGAGTACTGTCCTTCATTGCAGATGGATTCTATATATACTACCCAATGCTTGTTGTCATTCTCTGTATTGCCACATACTTTAGGTAAGTGATTTACAATATAGATTCTCCACGTTTCTTTAATAAGATTAGTTTCATCAGTCAGGAGGACATTCAATACTCCTTTTCCAGCAGTTGACTTGTGTCATATTAATAAAAATGCAAAATCTAAATCATTAAATTGCTATTCATATAGGTGAAGTGTGTACATTTTAAGAATATAGATTGTGTTAAACCATAGCTGAGTTTTGAGGGGTTTTCCCCCCATTAAACTTCATTCCTAGATTTTGAGGTGTGATCTTTTAGAACTTTGGGGCCTGGGGGCATCTAGATTCTGCTTGAGATTAAAATTACCATGAGGAAGCTGTGTTTTCAGCAAGGTTTTCTAATGAACTAAGAAGCATTAGCAGAAATTTTAGGTGTCGAACTTCCTAACAGACTCATAAAAAATTCCTTATGTGTTACCAGACTTTGGTTTGAAAGCATACTGGTGTAAATAATTTGATCTTGTTTCCTTAAGCTGCAGTTCGTTGGAGGGTGGAAGGGTAATTGTAGAAAACACTGTTACATGGTAGCTTTATCCTTATATTTCAAAATGTTTGGTTTGACCACTGAAGGGACAGGATACTTTCGGTCTGACCTTGCTCAGATACTTTTATGTTAATTTCTTCAATTTTGCATTACCTTTCAGTCAGAAGCAAGGTATATGTTTTTAGTCATATACAATGTAGGTGAATGCCTCAAATTCCCATTAATACTGTGTGTGCATCCAGATATGCATATAGATAGTAAGATAACAAGGACCTGGGCTTTTCGTGCTTACTTTTTGGTTTAGTGACAAAAGTGGTGGTGAAGGAAAAGTGAACAGTAAAACAAAACAAAAAAAAAATCAAACCGGAAAGCCAATGACGAGAAAAGTGTTTGTGTGACTTCTTGTCCATGATGATGCTGGATCTTGAATGCCACGGTGAAAAGGAAGAATAGAAATTAAAGGAGAGGAAGTTACTTTAGTGACTTCTGCTAATTCACATACATGCAAAAGGTTTAATTAAATGAAGATTTAATTAAAATTATCAAGGAAAGCTTGAATTAAGCTCTCTTTAATCCAGCAGTCTTAAAGTTCAGATAGTATAAGAAAAAAACTTCATCATAAATATGCAATGAGGCCTATTTGGAGCATGACATTGATATTCCACTTTGGAGAAAGGAAAATAATAATGAAAACAGCAGTTGTGTTCTCTGGTGTGAAGTTGAAAAGGTGAAAGTGGTTTCCTGCTATCTAGTTCCAGGACTAGCTTAAAAAAGGTGGAGCAAGCTTATTATCTGAATGCTGCTTAGTGGCTTTTCCAAAATGGCAGCCAGCATCCCTACAGCTTAAAAGTATGGCATACATTTCTCCTAAGTGAAACCTGAGGTGAAAGAGACTTTCCTTTGTTATTAGTGTTTCAAAAATACAGAAATCACAGTAAGCAGAATTTTTATAGTAATTGTCTTCTGGCAAAGAAGAGTCAATGACGTATCATAAATTCTGTTATATCTGAGAACACCTAAGCAATTGACTTATGTTAAATCATTTGTACTACTCTCTAACTATATACATTTTTATCTCTCTATTTGGATAGGATTATTGTCAGTTGGATTTAGGAATGTGTCACTGTTCTGAATTTTCTGGTTTCTCAGCTAGTGTAAGAATCTGTCTTTTCTTCTGTGTTGCTTTTTTGCTTGTATTGTCCATAATTTTCTGAATAATTCGTTTTACATCTGGCATTGTAATATATCTAAACTGTTCATTGTAAATAAACAAAGGAAATTAATTACTTCTCCTTCTTGTTTTATCAGTTTAGGAACTCGTTGTTTGAATCTTTTGGGATTCCAGCAGTTCATGGGGGATAGCGAAATGACTTCTGATTTGATTGATGAAGGAAAAGAGCTAATCAGAAGAGGTAAATTAGGTCCTATATCATAGTCTTCCTACAAAATCATAGAACCATTGAATCATCAAGGTTGGAAAAGACCTTGAAGATCATTGAGTCCAACTGTGAACCCAGCACTTACCAAGTTCACCCGTAAGCCATGTCCCCAGGTGCCACACATCTTTTAAATATCTCTGGAGATGGTGACTCCACCACTTCTTGCAGCAATCTGTTCAAATGCTTGACAACCCGTTCAGTGAAGAATTTTTTCCTAGTATCCAAACTAAACATCCCCTGGCACAACTTGAGGCCATTTCCTCTTGTCTTGTTGTTTGTTACTTGGAAGGAGCGACCGACCCCCAACTCACTACACTATCCTTTCAGGTAGTTGTAGAGAGGTCACGATCCCTGAGCCTCCTTTTCTCCGGGCTAAACACACCCAGCTCCCTGAGTGTCTTCTCATTAGACATTTGCTCCAGACCTTTCCCCAGCTCCATTGCTCTTCTCTGGACATGCTCTACCACCTCAACATCCTTTCTAAACTGAGGGGCCCAGAACTGGACACAGCGCTCAAGGTGCAGCCTCACCAGTGGCAAGTACAGGGGAAGAATCACTTCCCTGGTCCTGCTGGCCATTCAGTTCCTGATACAGGCCAGGATGCCACTGGCCTTCTTGCCCACTTGGGCACACTCTGGCCCATGTTCAGCTGCTGTCAACCAGCACCCTCAGGTCCTTTTCCACTGGGCCTCTTCTCTTTCCAGCCACCCTGTCCCAGTCCTGTAGTGTTGCAGGGGGTTGTTGTGACCAAAGTGAAAATTGAAAGGAAAGTGGCTTGGTGACCACTTCCACCAGCTCCCTCAGTGCCCTTGGATGGATCCCATCTGGCCCCATAGACCTGTGTGTGTGTCTAAGCAGTGTAGCTGCTTAGTAGTAGCACTAGTCACTGACCATTTTCCTTGGATTCTGGGGGCTTTATTCTGCTCCCCATCCCTGTCTTTCACCACAGAGGACTTGGTACCCAGGCAACACCTGATCTTACTCTTAAAGACTGAGGCAAAAATGGCATTAAGTTTACCTTGGCCTTTTCCTCATCATGTTATATGTTCTTGGATTAAATTTGTCTGAAACGTTGCAAAAAGAAAAAGCTTGTCATTATTTTGACATTATTTTGAAAACTGTACTGAGGCAGCCTGCAATACAAAATGCAATAGACCTACAGGACTGTGGTTGCTATGGACTTCATTGGTATCTAAAGTGAAGTACCAGTTTTATTCATCCAGTATCTGAATTTTAGGTATTTCTAAATATTTTACAGTGTGTTACTGATCTAAGCAGATGCTTGTTTCATAAAGGATGGTTAACATCTAAATTGTGTTTATCATCAACAAACTCATTTTAATCTTTCTTTGTGTGTGTTGATAGAGCTGCATGAGTTCAGTCATTTCCTTAAGTGTTTTTTGCTGTGTGAACTAACTGTGTTTTATAGAATCATAGAATCATAGAATCGATTGGGTTGGAAAAGACCTCCGAGATCATCGAGTCCAACCCTTGGTCCAAATCCAGTCCATTTACTAGATCATGGCACTCAGTGCCACGTCCAATCTGCGTTTAAAAATCTCCAGGGATGGTGAATCCACCACCTCTCTGGGCAGCCCATTCCAATGCCTGATTACTCTCTCTGTAAAGAATTTTCCCCTGATATCCAACTTAAATTTCCCCTGGCGGAGCTTAAGCCCGTGCCCCCTTGTCCTATTGCTGAGTGCCTGAGAGAAGAGACCAACCCCCACCTGGCTATAACTTCCCTTCAGGTAGTTATAGACGGTGATGAGGTCACCTCTGAGCCTCCTCTTCTCCAGGCTAAACAACCCCAGCTCCCTCAGCCTCTCCCCATAGGACTTATGCTCCAGTCCTTTCACCAGCCTTTATCAGAGAAAGCATGTTGTTATAGAGCTGTAATTATCTGCTGGTTTAGAAAGCTTTTTATTTTAAGTTAATTTTTATTGAAAGGGTTTCTTGAAAATTGTTAAAAGCCATTGTGGTTCTTGAGTAAATACTTAGAAATTAAAATTTCAGGATACAATGTTATATTATGGAATACTTTTATTCTGATAGTTTATGCAAAATGAAACCTGGATTTACTTAGAGTAGTAGTATTTCTCTTTTTTTGGAGAAAGATGAATGTTTCTCATTCCTCTAAACAATAGGTTATGATTGCTTCGATACTGTGATGTTCTACTTTCAACATCACAGCAGATATGACCACAAAGTATTGGGGTCATACTTTGGGCCTCACAGAGCTTCAGCAAGATCTTAAGTCAACACCACTCAAGTTTTTTATAATGTCATACTTTTCCCAGCTACTTCTAGAGGGTTTTTTTTTGCTTTGCCAGCTGGTATCCAAATATTATGCTGTGACCCAAGATACTATCATCACAAATTCATTTTTATTGGAAACGCTATAATGATAGACAAGCAGCTTTTTGTTTGGTTTTTGTTTAGTTGTGTGAGTTGTCTATTTCAATAAGAACCTGCTAGTTAACTTTGGATTTTCACTGTTTCTTTAAAAAAAAAAATTGCTAATGATTTTTCTTGTGTGGAGCTCAGACAAATAATGTTTTTTTTATTTATAGAGAAAAGAAAACGACAGAGGCAGGAAGAAGGTGAAAACAGAAGAAGGGTATGAGATTGTTTTAGCTAATAATAATAATAATATTTTACTGCAATATCTTTGCATGTCATTTGCCATGACTATTTAATTCAGCATAATCTCTTCCACAAAAAAGGTAGTCCCAAATAATTGATGGGATCAGTTGAATTTTGCTTAATAATCTTGGTTGGGGGTTAATTAATGAAGAGGATGATTTTAGTGACACTACTTGGATACTCTTGTTACTCACTGTGCTGTGGTGTATGCCAATAGGTGTAACAAGCATTAAGAAGGTTCCTGAATTCTGGGATGCCAGATAATCTGAAATGGTTTATTATCAGTGTCTTACATTGATACTGTTCTGCTTGAAAGAACTGCAGTTGCAGTGTCATCATGTTCACTAAAATAGGGACTGTGTGCTCCTCCCAAACTTACCTTGTTGTTTAGTGCTTATTGGAAAGTAACTGTCACAGGTTTTTTCCAGAGGAGGTAATTACATTGGAGACAGAAATGATACTGTTACTGCTGAACAAAAAAACAGAATGTTTGTTTCAAATCATATTTTGTGTGCAGACCGAACTGAAAGATTTGTGAAGCTTTAGGTTTTCATTAATTTATAACATTTGGAATCTAGCATGGAAAGTCACAGAGACAAATAGAAAGGATGCATGCAAGATAATACTGGAACTAAAACCTCTTGGCTCTTCAAGCTCGGGTATACTTTGATCCTTGATGACAATCAGTACTGCACAGACCTTTCTTCTGATCCTCTGCCCCCATCTCATAATTTTAGAACCTGAATTTGTTGTGAAACAAAGTAGTAGTGAATGCATGATACATTTAGTATACACTAAAATGATCTGACATCAACAATTTTTGTTAAACAGCAAGCTCAAGTTTCAGATGTTACTTGTTATTTTGAGTTTTGCATTAAATACTGTATCGTATAAATAATGTAGCATATTCATTTTTTGGAGCTTTTGAGAGTGTCATGTTGTACTGTTTAATCCTTCTGCAGTTTAGAATTGTAACATATGACATAACTTTTGAGTTATACCAGTTCTTTTTTTAATATCAGTAACTTCTGAGTATACCAGTTCTTACCAGACTGTAATCTGGGATCTAAATATGGGACTGAAACATATAAAAGAGCAATTAAAAACATTTCTATTGAGACATGAAGTTGTCTCCTGATAAAAGCACGAGACGTTTTCTTCTTTAGTATTTCTTTATACTTCATACTAAAATGTTTACAATCTAAAGGGTATCAGAATGGAAACAACAGAACAACAAGCTTAATAAACATGGCCTGTCCAAATGTTTGGGGGTTTTGTGTGCTGTTCTGTTTCCATTTTACCACTAGATGGAAGTAGTAAACAACAAAAGCAGCTGTGCCCACCATAACTTAGAGGAGTTGAGTGGACTTTGAGTGCAGATTTGACATGCAGTTTGTTTTCTGCATATCTTTTTTCTAAAGAACAGTTATGGTTACTGGCTTAGTGAAGAGACACATCTTGAGTTTAAAATGAAGCAAAAATTCTTCCTGTATCAAGATACTGAACAAGAACATTTTGAAAATATTGCTTTGATAATCTGTTGTGATTAATTTAGCTCTAAATACCTTGGGTATTCCTTGATCCCACATATGCTTTGTTGTGTTGCTTTATCCTCACAGCTTATGTTTTCTTTTGTTGTCTTTTTCCAGGAATGGAAGGAGCGATATGGAAATAGAGACGATTCCACTAGAAACAGAGCTGTCCACACAGACCAAAAAGAATCCAGCTTCACAGAGACCAATGCCAATAGACGTAAGCTTTGTGGGTTTGGGGGGAGGTTGGTTTTGTTTTGTTTTCTTTTACTATCTTGTCTGCACAACACTGGCTGTGTGACTAGTTTCAAATATATTCCTTTTTGTGTTAGGTGATGTGCTGATACATCCACTTCTGTGGCACAGTGCCATCTTGCCATTAAGACACTGAAAAGAGTGCTGTGTTTCTTTCCATCTCCAACACTTCAACTAGTTGAGATTGGAGATTCTGGCTCTACTGTAAGACCAATAACTTGGTCTTATGGGATATATAATGATTGCAGTTAGAGTAGCAGTTGTCAGGAAAGAAAATAATTATGATATGTTGTGAAGCTGGGTGTTGTAAATCACAAAATGTACCTCTTCTACTTGGAAATTGCTATCTCACACTGGAATAAGGGAGCAATCAGTTGACCAGCTTATGTGAAACCAATAACATACCACACAAGTGGGTACATTTTTGTTTAATAATGTCTGTTAGCAAAATACTTATTTTTGGAAGTTTAAAGCATCACAGAAGTTTATTTGTGAGAGTATTAGTGGGGGTTTTGTGCATTTTTGATCTTTTTTTGTACTCCTGTAAGCTAACAACAAGTAAAATGAAACTGAAGAAAAAGGAAGAAAAAGGGGAGGAGGAGGCAAGCTTTGAATATGCTTTTGAGACAATGCTGGTAGATTCCCCCTCCTCTTTACAAAGTTGGAAACGCAGATTTTTAGTGGTAGACTAACTAAAATTATATTTTAATATGAATGTGTAGCATTCCAACACCAAAACCAGGCATAGGTACTTGCCTAGTGAAGGTTGCAGAGTGAACTGCAAAACAAATATATTTCATTAGTTCATGAGATTGCCTCTTTAAAAACGAAGAAAAGTTAATTAAAAAAACCCTCCAGCTAGCTTACTTAAAGCCTGAAGCTGTGAAGATGAATGGATGATTGTTTGATTTAAAAGTAAAGTTTGCATGTAGTTTCTCATTTTCATTGTGTCTTTGCAAGGCAGATCTCATCCTATTTGAGGGGCAAGAGAAAAGTTGTAGTTGCATGTGTTCTATGGAGGTACAAAACTGAAATACTATAAATTTGAGCAACTTCGGTTTAATATTGAATCTGCTCTAAATTATGGCACTTTCACTTTGGATGAGATATTTATTAATATAGTCTTTTAAATTTGATGTCTCCAGGCTGTTCACAGAGCAAATGAGTATCTTTCTTTCCTTTTACTTATTCAGCACTATCAAAGTATACCCGATCAAATGGCAGGACTGAAAGAGATAGAATAGAACTCCTCCAGGATGCAGAACCTTTGGATTTTAATGCAGACTCTGTTAACGATGACCCTCTTGAATCAGACTCGGGAAGGTGAGTAATCTTCCGTGTGTTATTTACAATTAAAAGATACTAATGTCTTGTGTCTTCTGACCTATGACAACTGCATCAAATGTTTTCATAATAATAGTTTGGTAAACTAAATTTATCATTTCACCTAACTCTTCTCCTTTGTTCCTTCTGCCCCATGATACAGGAATTGTTTTAGAACCTATTAAAACTTAAAGGTTTTTCAGGTTTTTTGAAATATCAGAGTAAGATTTGAATATAACTTTATATAGTGGAGTAATCTGAAAAATACTGCACATAAAACTGGCGAAGGACCAGTTTGTTAAGGAAACTTCTCATGACTATTCAGGAGGCACTCTGGCAATCACACTCTCAGCACCCCAGACTTTCACTGCTGGGACTGAAGCCCCTTCACAGCCTGTGGCTCCAGTGACTCTCCAGGTGCCCTGTGTCACTCCCTGCACACCCCACTCCCACACAGTCAGACAAGTTTTTAAGTTTCCCTTTCCAGCTCAGCCGCAAGTTTCCTGTACCAGAGTTCCAGATGTCTGGTTCCTTTAAGTAATTTAATCGTGGTGCAGCAACAGAATAGCTCGAGTTTGTACCTCCAGGGAGGGGCCCCAAACTAAGGAATCCCTGAGCTTTTATACCCTCACAGGGTGTGCCCCCGATGCTCTGCGGTCTTCCATCTCAGTCCTCAGCTCCTGCCGAGTCTCCGAGTGTCCGGTCACCTGGCTGGTGCCACAGGTCCCCGTGCAAAGAGTTGAGTCTTGGCCTCTTGCATGGGGCTCCCCCCATTTCCTGCCATCCAGGACACAACCTGCAGCTGCACACAGGGCTATCTGCAATAGGTATATTCCTCAACAGACATAGGTACAACATATGGTTTTCTGTAATTTCCTGCAAGGCTTCAGAAAGCACTTGATTCTCCTGTATAAAATCCATTATAAAAGGCTGCAAGAAAGAAAACTGGGTATTACAGGACCCGTTGCAAGAATACAGCTGGGGATCAGATCTTGGAACTACTGGACTAAATTAAACTCTGAACTTCCTGAACAGAAAGTACAAGACTGCACTATGTAGCTCTCTGTAATAGAGAATTTTTAGATTCTGTGGGTGTGACCGCAACAGCAAATTTCCTCACTGATAGAGTGTCTTATATAACTGCTTAGCTTTGCTCATACTTAAGAAACAAATAAAATATTGCATGGGTGCTTTTTTTAATCTAGGTCATTCTGGTGTAGAACCATTTAATATAAATAATTTAAAATTCCCATATAAAAACTTATAATTTATTATATTTCAGCTAAAACTAGCATAACCAATCAAAAAAAGCCACAAATGGTTTTAGTAGACTTCTGTTTATAAGCACACAAACTACTTTTTGGATGCCATTGTTTGGTTGGGGTTTTTTTAGGTTTTGAGTTTTTGTTGTTTGTTTAGTTGTTGGTTTAGTTGGGTTTTTTTAAGAAGAAAGTCCTGTTCAACTAAAACATCTAACTTTTTTCCTTTGTATCAGGAAACAAAGTTCTTTAAGACTCTCTCTTTAAGTATTCGTATCACTGTTTTTCTTGGCCACATGATGTTTAATTTAATGACTGTCTATCAAATTCTCATGGAAACAGTAATTCAGAAGAACTTCAGGTCTTTAATTCACTGACAGTTAAGGAGTAAGACTGTAGTGAGAGTTATTTGATTTCATGGGTCTTTATTTTTTTATTTCCTGTGATATTTTTTCATATTTAAAATTGATTCTGCAGGTACCAGCCTGGTGGAAGATACCTGTCAATGTCTCGAAGCAAAATATTTGATGATGTCTAAGCTCCTCAATGCTAAAGAAAATTCAGTGGAAGTCTAGCTCCTTCTCATTGCTTGGAAAATACTGTATTATCACTGAACCATCAAAGACTGTTTCTGTTTAAAAAAAAATATGAAGGAACAATTTTGGAAATGCACGTGTATGATAAGTTCACCACTTATGATAAGAACATGCTTCTTCTATTGTAGATACTGTTGTGCATCAGTGTGGGCTTTTGTGTCACGATGAAAAGGAGAAGACTATTAATTAAATAAATTGTATATACCTGGAACTGTATATACAATTTGAACTGTAACATTCTCAGTTCTAGGAAGAGATTTTCTGGAAGGATTTTTGTTGGGTTTTTTTTTGTTCTTTAACTGATGCTGTGAGAGCATCTTAATGCATCCAAAGTGCAGTTATATCAATTACCATAATAAACACTTCCTGTAATTTTTCTATTTGAACTTTAGTTCAAAATCTGCTGAATAAAATTAAGGCTGCTTTTGCCTTCAGCGGTGTTGAATCAGACTCATATAAGGAGAAAGATTGAGTGGCAGGCTGTTCCTCATAAAACCATAGAAATACACGTTCCAGTATTTAAAGACTGGCTACAAAAAAGATAGAGACTCCCTTTTTACAAGGAGTCAGATAGAAAAGATGAGGGGTCATGGGTACAAGATAATCCTGTGGAGATTCCAGCTGGACACAATTGGAAATTTTTGCACAATGAAAACAATCATCCATTGGAATAATCTCCCCAGAGAAGTGGTGGATTCCCTAAGATTGGACACTTTTAAGATTTGGCTGGGCAAGGTGCTGGATTGTCTTGTCTAGACTGTGCTTTTGCTGAGAAAGGTTGGACAATAGAATCATAGAGTCACAGAATGGTTTGGGTTGGAAGGGACCTTAAAGATCATGTAGTCCCAACTCCCCTGCCCTGGGCAGGGACACCTTCCACTAGATCAGGTTGCTCAGAGCCCCATCCAACCTGTCCTTGAACACTTCCAGGATTGGGCATCCATACCTTGTCTGGGCAACCTGTGCCAGTGCCTCACCACCCTCACAGGCAAGAATTTCTTCCTGTTGTCTAATCTAAACCTACTCTCTTTAACTTTGAAGCACTTCCCCCTTGTCCTATCACTACAGTTTCTGGTGAAGGTCCCTCTCCAACTTCATTGTAGGCCCCTTCAGATACTGGAAAGTTGCTATGATGTCTTCTTGCAACCTTCTGTTCTCCAGGCTGAACAGTCTCAGCTCTCTCAGCCTGTCCTCATAGGGGAGGTGCTCCAGACCCCTTTTCTTTCATGGCCCTCCTCTGGACTCCCTCCATTAGGTCAGTGTCCTTCCAGTGCTGGGACTCCAGAGCTGGATGGAGTGCTCCAGGTGGGGTCTCACCAGAGCAGAACTGAGGGACAGAATCCCCTCCCTTGACCTTGCCCACCCTGCTTTGGATGCAGCCCAGGACCCATTTGGCTTTCTGGGCTGTGAGTGCACATGGCCGGGTCATGTCCAGCCTCTCACCCACCAGCACCCCCAAGTCCTTCTCAGAAGGGCTGCTCTCAATCACTTCTCTGCCCAGCCTGTAGGTATGTCTGGGATTGCCATGATCTAGGTGTAGGACCTTGCACTTCACTTTGTTGAACTTCATGAGGTTTGTACAGACCTCTCAAGCCAGACCAGGTCCTTCTGGATGGCATCTGCACCCTCCAGGGTTTTGACTGCACCACACAGCCTGGTGTTGACAGATAATCCTTGAGGTCCCTTCCAGCCTGGTATTCTGTGATTCTGTGAAATTTGGTGGCGTAAATTTTGGAGCAACGTGTGTTGGTGAAGAAAGGCTCTATTTTTTCTTTTCCAACATTATAAGCAGATAAATGATTTTAGCATGTGTAAATAGCTGAAATTGAATATGGACCAGTTTCACTGTCTTAAGAGCATGTGTGCAATAGCAAGAATACATTATCAAAGATACAATGTCTGCTTAAGATCTTTACAGTTGTAATGATTCAAAATTTTGGCACACTAGTGTTTTTGTAACTGTTAAAAAATATACTATGAAAATTGAGTTAAATACTGAAACATGATAATTTGCACGCACCTCAGGCACGGCTTCAAACTGTAGAGTATTTCTTTAAAAGAAGGGAAATACATAGCATGACTAGATAATGGCAAACACTTTCAATATCCTGAATACCCTGGTTGCATTATGTATCAGTTTTTCAGGTGCCTGTATTTTGCAGTAAGTTGTTGCAGAAGGAATAATACTTATTCATTTGTATGCCATTCAAAAATGCCAATTATTGACAGTGTAGAAAAGCTTCACATTAATTTTATTGGTGTAGATACATTTTTAAACCATAGTTACTTGAATGAAGTTTCAAATGTAATCATAAGGTAAAAGATGTGGTCAAATTCATGATAACTTTGGTAATTTGAATAACTTAAAATATTGCTTTTTTGCAGTTTGTCTGAAGTCTTTACCACTTGGGAGTTTTCTTATGTGCTTATTGCAGAGTTATGTTGAAAACTGAAATAGAACATGTTTCTATCAAATATTCTTTATCATGCTTCAAAAAAAGATGTCTCATAAAGCAGCTACAAATGAGTTGTTCAGAAAAGTAAGTTTTCATGAATGACATATTCTACTAATTTTTAAAAATAGTCTGTGTTTTCTGAAGTTTATTGTTAATGGGGATCTAACTCTACCTCCTGTGATTTAGTATGTGTTCTAACAGTAGTGGTATTTGTAATATATTGATCTGCCTGTTTTAAAACACTGAATTGTTACTATGAAGAAGAAAAAAATCTCTATTTGTATAGAAATAACTATATTAATAAATTGGCAGACATACAATAATTGTCAGTTTTGTTCTTAGGTGAATACACTGAATGTCAGCCATGCCCACATGTATTCTCATGCAATTTCTAGATTGCTTATATGAGGGCACTTTTTTAGTTTGGGTATTTTGTGTTTGTAAAAGCTTGTTCCAAATCTTATGGCTGTATCAGGGACTGGAAGTTGAGAAAATGAGTCTTTATTCAGAGTCTTTTCTTTAGCATCTCTATGTTAGCACCTATTTAATTTATTTTAGTTCTACTTATAAGTGCTGTCCTGAATTCAGCCTTATGTGAATGGCTTTGTATATGTTTTTGGACATCCATCCACATGAATGCTCTTAGACTTGATATGTCTATTTTAAGAATTTGTATCTCATTTAATTGCCCAAAAGTTTATTTATAAAAATCTTGGAGTGAAATAAGGTTCAAGTTCTTTGCTTAACCCTTGAAATGTCACTGCAAAAGGGATCTAATTCAGTGCTAATGGCAAAACTATAGAAGGAATGTTTGTTTTTCTGCATGTCTGTGAAGTATCCTTACCTAGTCCTTCGTGACTTCAGAGACTTGGATCAAGCCTTCTTGGGGCCTGGTTTTCCCCTCTCAGTGAAATGGCTGCAAACAGAATTTTCAGGGGAAACATGGTCAGGATTTTATATACAAAAGATAACTAGTCCCTGGTGTAAGCCCTCTGTGCAGTTTCACTGGAATACAATAGTTTGAGGACTTGGCTGTATAAATTAATGGCAGTGGGATTTCAGATTCTAACATGGACATTCTGAGCTCATTGGGATGGGAATCTGCTGACCTTTTTTAATGTTGCAGTGGAGTAAGGGAGTAACCAGTGGGTGCTTTTTGAGCTCTGAAGATCTCTAAAGATTTCCTGGATTCCACTTGGCAATCCCTGGAGTGTCACATCCTCCCTGGATGCTGTTTAAGTAAGGAGTTGATAAGTGAAGTCATGTTTCATCTGTAGTATGCATTGCTGACCAGCAAGTTACTCTTTCTCTGATTATGTGCAATTTGTCGGCCAATTAATCTAAAGTGTGTTGGGAAAACTAGTTATGGGTTCATATCACTAAATCTGGAAGACTTCAAATAAAGAAATAGAGAGTACAACTATAAAAGAACATTGTAGAAATAAGGGATGTGCCAGCACAGCATTTGCTCTCTGCTTGAGCTAGTTTTAAACTCATTTGCTTACTGATCATACCAACAATACAGAACTTGCCTGGGAGCTCTATGTCTAAGGATTTACCCCTCTCCTGAGAGGTGGTGGATGACCCATTCCTGGAAACATTCAGGGCCAGGCTGGACAGGGCTCTGAGCACTCAGACTAGTTGAAGATGTCCTGGCTGATTGCAGTGGGGGGTTGGACTAGATGGCCTTTACAGGTCCCTTCCAACCCAAACCATTCTGTGACTCTGTAGTGCTTCCCAGCCAGACCGTGGCAACTCTTGATGGGTTCTATGCTGCTGTAGCTTGAGTCCCAGCAGTGCTGCAGCTGAACCAAGTTAAAAATCTCTTTGATATGTGGAGCAGTGACTATACTGTAGGCTAATGGTATTCCTGCATCCCATTTGATGTTCCAGATTAGGTGATTTTTAATACAACTCCCTTGCAAACTGTGCTTTTGGAAACTGAGTGTTAATGTATTTTTTTAATCAGTAAATATAGTCATATTTATTTGCAGCTGAAGAACGTCAGTTATGTATTTCTTTATTGTTTCACCTCTGAATTACCGAGCAGTGTGTGTACATTTCACCATCATTTCTGCAGTTTTCTCTTTGTCTGTAAACACCAAAAAAACCCCCCAAACACCAAAAATTCTACCCAAGTTAAGTACAAATGTTTGAATGTCTTCATGTCAAAGATTTAAACGAGTGAAAAGAATGCATTCAAGTCACAATGAGCTTCAAAAAGCTGGAGTGAAAACTGTAGCTGCTTTAGTACTCTGTCAGTGTTGGAGTTCTTAAAAAGTACAGATAGCAAAAAGCTCTTGTCAAACTTAATACTCCTACATTAGATTTGTAGTTCTCTTTTTTTCATGTGTTTAAAAACATACCTATTTTTATATGTATATTGAGAAATAAGTCCTCTACTCTGCTGAAGAGAGGTGCATCTCAGAGGGGAAGTGAGGGAGTCTTTTTGTGAGGGAAGGTAAAGGATATGTAACTTGTAATCTGTGCTAATAGTGACACTTTGGGCAAACGACAATGTAGCTTATTATTTAGGTAAAGTAACCTGTAACAGTAAGAAAAACTTTATACTGTAAATTTACAGTGCTGTAAATTAGCAGTGCTGGAAAAACTATGATATATAATCTGCCTTTATTTTGCAATCAAGCACTTGTAAAATAGCCATTAGCAGAATTAATAGGAATGGTGGAAAGCTGCTGTCTTTTCAATATTTATGCCTGCGGTTTTAAAATATAACATGACAACAATTTTTACATATGAAGTATTAAAAAAGTGATTATTATGATTTTCTGTGATTATGATAATTTTTATTTTGTTAAATTTATCTTGGAATACTGTAAATGTTGTGTGAAAAATGCTACATATTGTTTCAGTTTTCATTATTGCTGTAATTACTTGAAATATGGGGGCATTCACAATACCAAATAGAGATCACCTTATGAAGGAGAACTTTTTATGAGGCTTCTTAAAGAAATCTA